GGGAGGGAGGGGGGGGTGAGGGGTATACAAAGTAGCAAGTGAGGCGATAGGAAATCAGGAATGCGAGCGACTCCATCTTTGGCTGAGAGCTAGAGACGGCCACCCCCTCCCCCACGGAGTGTGTTTCCTCATCCCTCAGCGGGCTGGTGCAGTGAGGGGGGGGGGCAGGCCTCACCGCAATTGTGCCTCTGGTCCTCGTCACTCATGTCCCCGCAGTCGTTATCGCCATCGCAGATCCAGGAGGAGGCGATGCACCTGCCGTCGTCGCAGCGGAACTGCTCAGCGTTGCATGTCCGCACCATGGATCCTTGGGGGGGGGGGGGATCGGCAGTTTTACAACAGCAGAAAAAAAATTGTGAATCGCTCTACCACCAATAATCTGGAAAAAATAAGTTCCACCGGGGCAATAGCCAAAAAAAGCCGGGAATGGAACCAGTACATTCCAGGTCACAGCACTCTATGGAAACATTGGAGGTGGGTGGGAAACATCATAGAAGGAATGTGGCGCACAGCGGGGGGGCTCAAGGCTGTGTGCTGGGCTCTGACACCCTTAACTGGAACACCCAGTTGGGACGCTACCGTGTAACAGATTGGTTACTGGTGCTTCTCCAGCTGCCTCCAACACTGCGGGTTATTGATGTTGTTGCTGGTGATCTGATTTGGGAATCATTCTCTAATGCTGGGATTGAGTAAGGCCCCTCTGATGACAGGTAGGGGGCGCAGCGGCTAGGGTAGCTGGTCTCACCCCTCTTGGGTTTTAACTTTCATTTCCATCCATCTCCATTGTGTCTCCCTCTTCCTTCAGTACGGGAGGGGGATGCACTAAGAACTCCAGGTTCAGTTTGGGTGGATCTGTGTGTCTGAATTGCTCTGTGATGGATCTTGTGTCGGCCCTTCTGCTTCCTGAGAAGGGGTGTGATCTCACCTTAACCTTACATTGGAAAGCCATTATAAAAAGAGACAGATGTAGGAATTCTAGGTGAGATCACACCCCTTCTTATGTGAGACAAGAAATTTGCGATAAAAACAGTGTAGCTGCTGTGGTAGAGAACTGAGGCCCTTTGAGGGCACAGTGGACGGGAACCACGCGGAGGTACGGCTCTCACGGCAGGTGGGGGGCTCGTCGGAGCCATCGGCGCAGTCGGTGCCCTCGTCACAGTACCAGTGGCCCGGGATGCAGCGGCCACTGGAGCAGCGGAACTCGTTCTCGGCGCAGGTCGACGTGGCTGTGAGGGGGGAGCAGGAAGATTTAAGTTGACGCACCGTGCCGCTAAGCACGCATGCCAGAGCCGCAGGCCTGCCTTCACCGCCGCTCACCGCAATGCGTGGGGCTTTCGTCGCTCATGTCGCCGCAGTCGTTGTCACCGTCACAAAGGTATGAGCGCGGGATGCAGATATTGGTGGTCTGGCACTTGGTGTGTTCCGGCTGGCAGGTGCGATCGGCTGGCCATCAGGGGACATCGGTGGAGGTCAGGGTTAGAGAAACTGACAAGAGTCGCGGCAGCAATACTCCATCCTTTATTCCATCCATTCGTCCATCCATCCACACTCTGACTATTGAACTTGTACAGGATTGCATGGTTTATCCCAAGTAATTCTGAAATACTGTATAACATAACATTCTTCTAAGATCCAGGGAAAGAGCTGTTTTTTTAATATATATTTTGCTAGTTGGGGTGGAAGAAAGCACGCCACTACATATGATGTCATCTTACAGCCTTAGCTGTCCTCATTAAGGGACAATAGGACTTAATAGAGTGGCAGGTATAATATGAGCGATATGAGCAAAAACCTTAATGAATTGCTGGATCTCAGGTGGATATATATGCATACACATCACTGGACTCAAGTGCACTGCACTTAAATATTTAAATATCAAATGAGAATAACTAAAAGTGATGTTGTTATACTTGCTTCACAGTCACGGTGCATAAGTATCACTGTCTGATCCAATTCTCCTATTTTACCTCCAGTATCACTCAAATTGCAGCTGAACAGTTATAATTACAGATGCTCACTATTGCATGAGCCCCCATCCACTTTATACACTTTATATATGAAGAAAACAAAAACAAAAACAGAAAATGCACAAAGCAACAGCAATGCACTGAATTTATAAATCCACCTGTTAAGCTTGGTGGTAGAAAACCATGAGTAAGTTAGACTTTAGGGGGCTCAGCTGAGAAGGACAAATTTCTGGTGTAGTTATCAGCAACCTGAGCTTACAGTATCAAGCAGAAGATTCCATAGCATCAGACATAAGGCGAGAGGGGCAGGCTATGTGCTTACCGCATCCTCTTTCGTCAGACGTGCCGTTGTCAAAGCAGTTGTTGATGCCATTGCAGACGTACTGCCTGGCGATGCAGCGCCCGTTGTTGCAGGTGAACTCGCTGGTGGGGTCGCAGGGCCGGAAGAGGCAGTCGACCTCGTCGCTCCCGTCCCCGCAGTCGTTGTAGTGGTCGCAGCGATAGTGATAGGGCACGCAGCGCCCGTTGCCACAGGTGAACACAGTTGGCTCACAAGTGTGGAAGGCTGTGTTGCGAGAAGAGACATGCATCAGGAGGGATATGCGCCCTTTTACTGTGACGAGAGTCAGAGTACGGCCAGCCATGTCACAGAAATAGATGGATACGCTGCGTTACCTGACAGGACAATAAAAACAGCCATTTGCGGGACTGCATGCAAGAAACAAGCGCATTTTTCACAGTTTAGTATTTAGTTAATGAGGACCGATAAAAAAAAGAGGCGTTGTTAGATTATTAGTTTAGGGAAACACAGTAATACACACCAAAAGGAGTCAAATCACGCATGGGTCCTGAAAAAGATTGGGTGTAGGGGGAAAAAAAATCACAAATCTGGTGTTAGCGGGCATATGTTAGCTGTGCATCAGTCAGCATTAGCGCAGCAAGAGGAAACAACTATGCTGGTCGCTCTGTGGAGAATCACGGGGGGGCGCTAGACCTCAGGGAGACAGACACTGGCTTCTACGGCTCCATACCACAGACTCGCTCCAGCTCGTCACTGCCGTCACCGCAGTCATTGTCATTGTCACATTTCCACTGCGCGCGGATGCATCGGCCGTTCATGCAGGTGAACTGCCCTGGCTGGCAGCGGGTGCCATTGTCATGGATACAGTACTTGTTGTCAGCCAAGTACCAGCGGCCCTCGGAGGGGCAGCCACATTCCGCGCCCTGGGGTCCTGCACAGAAAACTGCGCGTCAGACGTGGAGCAGAACCATAAAAATCTGTAACGATGGGGAACACGTCTACAGTGCTAGTGGCCACACTGAATTCCACAAATCTAACAAGGCAAAGATGACAAGCCTTCCCTGGGAGCCACCATACTGACGATAAAAAGATCACATCCATCTCCAAACACTGCATAATTATATGGGTCATGAGGACAGAGGATATACGTTTGTACAGCCCAACTACATTTCCCATCATGCTCTCCTATGAGACACTTATATATACATGTTTGAGCAAAGACTGGGATCAGAGCACAGGGGTCAGTCATTTTTCTATTGGCCCTAGAGCAGATATGGGGAATAGGGTTTTGCTCAAGGGCCCAACAGCAATTATTCTACCAGCTATGAGATTCAAACAAGTGACCCTCTGGACACCACTATATAAGCTGCAGGGCCACACTCCATCCCAAGCCCCACAAGGAAGGCACAGGGCAGGAGACACAAGTCACAAGTGTACCTGAAGTGTCTTTGGAGGAACCTGGACTCTTGTCAGTCATTGATGCTCTCAATTGACACACCAATCATAAATCAATAAAAAATGACATTGTGGGATATTGGGTGGCAGTACCAGGGGTGCAGATATGGCTGCAGCCGCCATTGAACTGCTCGCAGGGGCTGCCACACTGCTGCTGCTTGTTACTGGCCAGTACGTGGATGTCCATAGGGCGAGATGGAAGGTTCTGGACCATCACACGCTGGTCCGAGCCATCGTGCTTGTTAGCACGGTAGATACTGCGCGTGTTCCAGTCCGTCCAGTAGATATGCTGGCCATACAGGGTCATGGCGAACGGGTAGACGGCCGTGCCCACGATCACCTCGCGGTTGGCGCCCGTCGGCGTGGACCTCTCGATCTTCTGCCTGAGGAAGTGCAGAGGCATTTTGTGACCACCTACTCACCACACGCTCTGCTCAAGACATTAGAGGATCCCAAAGAGACTTACAAGCTGGCATCCGCCCAGTACAGCCTCTGCTCCTCGTAATCTAAAGTGAGCCCGTTGGGCCACACCAGGCTGGTGTTCACGATGTCGGTCCTGAAGTTTCCCCCTAGAGTGGCCCGTTCGATTTTTGCATTGGTCCCCCAGTCCGTCCAGTACATGTACCTGGTCATAGTAAGAGAAGGCAAGGAATTCCATAGAAAAAAAGCACTGTCGTTGTTATAGCCTCTAATCAGAGTTGATATATAAAGATTTTCATCAAAGCATATAAATCAAAACACAGATATAAAATAACTAGAGTGGCTATGTGATAGTGTATCGCCGACTCAGCCTCACCCCCGACAGGGGTCCAACATTATGGCCCGTGGTCTGGGAACCCGAGCAATAATAGTACGCTGGGACCCGTCGATAGCCATGGAGCTGATGGTCTGGTTGACGTAGTCGCTGTAGTAAATCCTCTTATGGATCCAGTCGTAGGCCAAACCGTCTGGAGAGCCCAGATCTTCAACAAAAACAACAGAGCTAATCGTCACTTATCTTCAGACTGACGTTAACAATGACATCAGCTCTTTCAGAAAACAGACCGCACTTTAATCTTCCTTGAATAGGTTTCTGCACAGTTCCGATTTAGGTGCCAACACAAGTATACAATTCTACAAGCAATATATTAGTCTGATAAGCGGAGTTGTGTAATTTTGTGCAGTATGATGCAAGGCCTCCTACCCGAGGCCACTATCGTAGGGGTGGTGGTGGGAGATGAAAGGCTGATGTAGCTTATCTTGCTGATTCCCGCCCCAGAACTCTGTGAGAAGTAGATCCGATTGTCCGTGCGGTCAAAGTCCAGGGCCACTGAGGTTCGGAGCACGTTGACCACGGGGAAAGGCAAAGAGTGGTCGTCAGGGTCCAGGCGAAGGCTGCGCACTGTGCTCTCTGTGGTGTAAATGAGGTAGTCGTCTCTAGACACCACGCAGGTGGCGTTGTCGCGCGCCAGGCTCCCGAAGGCACAGGCGCACCTCCTGGTCTGGCTTCCGGGGATGGCGAAGCAGAGGTGGGCACAGCCGCCGTTGGCCACCAGACACGGGTTGTTGTTGAGCTCCTGGGCCGTGTGAGGCTGGGTGCGCTGGTCAAAGATGGTCACATCCCTCAGCATGTTAATATTATCCCTGATGACAGCTGGAAGCTCATTGTTACCCGGCTCTTTGCTGGCCTGGAAGACTTTCTTGAGGTTCCTGTCCACCCAGATGATGCTATTCTCAAAGACGGTGATGCCATAAGGGGTGGGGTACCGGCTCCCATACCGCACCATCTCTGGTTCTCCACCCTCGGGGCGTACCCTGGCGATCATGTCCAGGGAGTCATCCACCCAGTAGATGTATCCGTTCTGGTAGTCCAGGGCAAGACCTCGTGGAGTGATGATCCCAGAGGAGACCAGGACAGTCCTGTTTGTCCCGTCCAAGAAAGACCGCTCGATCTTGGGGTTCTGTCCATAGTCTGCCCAGAAGAGGTATCTGCTCTTGGGGTCTACCACAATGTGGCGGGGCATGTCGACGGTGGTCTTCAGGAGCACTCGCCGGAAGGTGGTGTTCAGACGAATGACCTCCACGTAGGTCTCCGTTAAGAAGGCATTCGTGAAATAGAGGTTCCCTGTGAAATACAATGAGGTAATCCTAAGATATTTAATATAATGGAACAGTATAACAAAAACATAAAACAAGAAAATACTTAGCAATTAACAAGGCTTTCTGTGTATTTTACATAGTGCCTGAAAAAATATGCTATCAATGTTAAGCTGACATGACTCAGGTTATAGAAAAGAATGATTAAATCTGAGACATGCGAGTTTCTGGAGGAGTGATGACCAAACTGTATCTTCAGTAGCCTGCCAGCCATAATCTCACATCATGCATTTAAACAAGAGCAAAAAAACTTCACTGTGTCAGCCTGACCAATGTACCTGTTCTTCAAGCATGATTCCAAATAAAAGTAAATCAAAATACCTATCGAGGTATGAGACACAAATTACTTATCGGAGAATGGCTCAAGGTTCCTGTTGCTGTATGAGAGCCTCCAATGTGGATTGGCCAGAAAAAAAATCAGCCGATTTTTAAGCGTTTAATGGCTGATTAATCAGACTACATGGCCAATACAGTGATGGCTGTATTCACTTCGTCAGCGTAATATTCTGGTCTTTCAGCACCTACAGCAGGGAGACTTCACCAGGTTCCAGGTTCCAGGTTCCTCCAAAGGTACAAGTTCTAAAGGTACGAGTTCTAAATTCCTGCTGCTTACATCAGTTTCCCTCACTCACTACAAAGCTGAAACAATCTCATTGTTTCATTATTTTTGTGAGAAACGGAATCATGAAATTAATTAATCAAGTTAATGTTTTCATTTTTTGTATCACTCTTAAAAAAGCTGTATGCCCTAGTTTAAAGGGTGTTTATTATTTAAAGTTGATTATTGTCTTTGTATGTTATTAAAGTTAAAGTTTTTTGCTTGTCGTATTTAAGGTACCTCAGTTTAAATGGTCTTTATCTTCGTTCACTTACAATTAGCCCGAACTACCGTAAATCCGACAAATAATCCGACTAATCATGAAATCCAATTCCAGCCCGGATAATTGCCATTGTTAGCAATATCAGTTGACAACACATTATGTGCGGTGCTTTACTATAAAACTCTGTAGCAACACGTCCACAGATAAGTTGGACGGTATACTGTTTGCGACCGATTTAATGAGCCACAAATGAGAAGTAGTGCTTAAACAGTATAAAACTACAACTTTCCCTTCTGTTGAACTCGGGATCCTCTGTGCTGGTCCGAGATCTCAGAGAAACGGGAGCGCATGTTGTTACTTCCGGCTTCAAAACTCGGAATCCGGCTCGGAATACGAGTTCCGAGGGCAAATGGAACGCACCAGAACTGCCCGAAATGGGTTGACATTTCAGGGATTTTGAGTCATTCTGCGCTGCAGATGGGTTAATTGCGTTTACAATTTTTATCAGATTAATCATGATGATGGATTAATCCGCGCTAACCCGTTAATTTTGACAGCCCTGATATATATATATGTATAATGTGCCATACATATTATTACTGCTGAGAGATTAAACGATTTCCACTGACCAAAGAGTAATGATCCAGCAAGATACCGTCAACAAACACTTTGCAATCACCTGGTCCATTAAGGAACAAGGTGGTTCATCAAACCCAAAGTGATCCGGTTCCCCACCTGCAGCCCAGTCCACCGCGATGCCTCGGATGCCGTTCCGGCCGATGCCAGAGGTGACTATGCTACGGAACCCCGAGCCGTCGGGCTTGATCCGGCGGATCGCGTTCTGTGACGCCACAGTGCTGCTGAAGTCGCACCAGTAGAGGAAGCCCGAGGGCATGTGGACATCTACGTGCAGGGCATTGCGACCTGAGGGGTGAAATGCAGAGCGTCAAGTCAATACAGAGTGACGGGCAGGCAGGGCGTGTTTCCAGTGTGGCAGACGCACCTCTCCCTGCTACGGGGACCATGGCCTCGGAGTGGTCGGCCCCCTCCAGACTGAAGCCCTTGAGAGCGGAGAGCATGGAGATGACCACGTAGGACTGGTAGGGTGAGCAGGTCCTGCTGTCAGGGTTGAGCTTGAAGCCCGTGGCACAGGCACAGGTGTACAGATTGCCTGGGCGTGGCAGACACAGGTGCTGGCACGCGCCCATGTTGTCACTGCAGCCATTGGAGGTGCCTGCGGAGGCTGGGGATTACAGTCATGGAAAAGGGTCAGCTGCTTCCTCCTAGTGGTTTGGCCAATCAGACCTTTGGACCTTCCAGCTCTTCTCCCTTAGACACCATAGTCATCGATTCTGAACAACCCTCAGCTAAGGATTCATAAGGCAGAAGGTCTAATTGCTGTTGACCAGCCAGGATCGCCCTCCCCCAGGACTAAGCAATCGTGTTAGTGTGTCTTAAGATATACAATTAAAGCTTTCCCTTAAGTTGGGTCAGCAAAATCCCCGTTAATCACCTAAGCCCTGGGTCCTGGTACTATGCATGCTATCTGCATAGATAACTTCCACTTGCAGATCCAAAATGAATGAATCGCAAGCCTCATTCACTTGCTGGAGAGGGGGGGAGGTGTCATTCTTCTTCCTGAAGGTCATGCCACAAAGATCCCTTTGCGCATCTGACCAAGAAAAAAAATCTAACCCCAGATATTTACTGAAAGGTTCAAAGACACCAGTCACCAATGACAAGGCTTCATCATGCAGTGACATAGTTCTTAGGTAAAGCATCTCCTATGGGCAACTATTTAGGGCAATATCTAAATCCAAACCTCAGTTAACATAGGCAAACAGAGCTGCATGTAAACAAACATAAAACACATTATGCAATTATGAAGGGTGGCTCTGTGGATAGCATTAGTGCCTTATGCCTGAAAGGTTAGAGGTCTAAATCCCGCCTCCATTCTATGTGTGCAGATTGCATGCTCTTCTAGTGCTGTATGGGATTTTTCCCACAGTCTAAAGGCATACAGTCAGGTGAACTGCTTGTAGTGTATGTGTGTATGTGTATGTGTGTATGTGTATGTGCCCTACAAGGCCTGGCATCCTGTCCAGAGTGTTCTCCAGCCCTGTACCCTATGCTGTCTGGGAAAGGCTCCGGAAACCCTATAACCCTGAGTGGAACACGTTTTTAGACGTTCATTCCTGCTTGGATACATACTCTCTCTGTAGTGCACCTTGAGAACCCTGAGTCCAGACACGTTGTCCCGAAGCACCACCCGATTGGTGCCGGTGGCTTTGTCCACGCGCTCGATCACCTCGAAGTCCCTGTCGGTGAAGAACAGGAAGCCCCCGTGCACCGCCACCCCCCACGGGTGGGACAGGCCGGTCACGACGGCGATCCGGTTGGTACCATCTGAGTCGCCTCGCTCGATCTGAAGGGTTTCACCTCAGTTAATACACGGGGATCACACAGATTCAGGCTGGAGTCACACATAGCCAAGGCAAGCGACCATGCTTCCAAATATGCTCTGTATAGACTTTTAATCCAAGCGTATCTGTATCTGTAAAATCACAGAACGAGGCCCACCATTCCGGTTCCCGTGACGGCCCAGTACAGCTTGTTTTCCCGTACGTCGATCGTTATGAACTCAATGTGGTCCATGTTGTTGGTGAAGAGGGTGACGGCGTTGGAGCCGTCCATGTCTGCAGCCGCCACCTTGGCTGGGACTCCGCCCTCTGTCCCTTGATCGGTCCAGTACATCCTCCTAAGACACAGGGCCGGGTGTGACGGGTGTTTTGGGACCCACCCTGAATATGAACCTCTATACTCAGCCCTGCCTGTACTGCTCTACTGAAACATGGAAAACACAGCGGAAGGGCCCAGGGTTGGTGACAAAGTCAGGGCTGCGGTCCACGGGCCTTACCCACGTGCCGGGTCCACGGCGATGCCAACAGGGGTACCAGCCCCCGTAGGTGAGCCATTGTTGGTGATGATGGTCTTCCGATATTGCACCTCTCCTTTCAGCTTCAGAACCTGGTAAAAAACCACAAGACACAGTGTCATGAGGGAAGCATGGTAATTATCATCTCCAGGGGTTTGTATTCTTTGGGTGAAAACAGTAACGTCCAAATTGCACCTTGCTGGAGCACAGCTCTGCCTCCTTCAATGTTAGCCTTTTTTTCTTAATGTCCCAGAATTCAGTAGATCCAAAGTGAATGCTCTCAGAAAAGATCACTTTTGCTCGAGGAATCAGGTTTTTCATCAGCTTTAATAATATTTTCACTACCCTTTTTAGTACCTTTTTCTACTATTCCTACATGGCAGCTTGATTTCGGTCCCATGTTATTGTATTTTGACTTATTTTCCTTACCATACTGCTGCAAACTCTTCACTCACTAGCTAGATTCTGCAGCTGGTAAGACATGTACTGTATAAGAAGCAATCCATGCATAGTTTCATATCTAAATGCATTTTCACAGAGACATTACCAATGAATGTTACTTGTAATGATAAGCCTCATTATGAAAAGTATCATTCACATGTAATGTTTAAAAAATCAAGTACTATTTAACCACTTGACATATATATACACACATATTTACACTGCCAGTCAAGAGTTTTTGCACACTACAGGTTTCTACCACTTTTCCATTTATTTCAATAAACTGCAGATTTCTTATTCTTGTTAAATATTGGAAAGTTGAACAACTAAAAATGAAAGTATAGGTCACATAAATTTAGCTTCCTGTATAACATGGAAAGAGTATGTAACAGTCTGACATCCTATGAACTGGTTTTGTGGTGATGACAGTGTCAAATTCTAGGCTGCCCTTTATAACTTTAAAGGCACTAGTTAACTCTTTCATCTCATGAAACAGAGCAGTATTTAATGTCCCTGGCAGAAAGAATGCTTTTAATGAATCTGAACGTTGATGAATCAAAGATATGACATTTTGTTGTTAATAAAGGTACTCGTTCGGTGAACATACTGTAAATTTGTTAGCAAAGAATGTTAAGTGTATTTTAGTAAATGTTATATGAGTAGCATGCAAATGTAAAAAATCTCAGTGCGTGCAAAAACTTTTGACTGGTCTCTGATTCTGATTTAAACCCAAATTGTAAGTGAATCTTTTTATTTACTAATATATTACCAAATGACAAGTAACACTGTATTGACAGTAAAGGAACAGATTGTAGACTAAAGTGTTACTCATTCTTCTAGCTAATTTACACATAAGTAGGAGTACTTGGAAAGTATGGATTCTAAGGAGTACTTAGAAGTACTAAGGAGTACTTAGGAATACTTAGAAAGTATGGATTTTGCACCTCAATGGACTGTGAGGCTGGGTTGGTATAATACAGGTTCTGTGACATCCAGTCCAATGCGAGGCCCACTGGGGAGCCCAGGATGGCGGCAGGAGCGAATTCCGTCCTGTTGGTCCCATCTGCTTTCACGCGGTGGATTTCCCCCTGTGGGGAAGGAGGACAGTCGTGAATGTGTCTGCTGTGTATGGTGAGATTGTAGAGTCACAGGTTCTCAACCCAAGCATGTACCGGGTGTTCCACCCAGTAGATCATCTGCTCAGAGTCGTCGAAGTCCACGTCATAGCCATTCTGCAGCCCGGCAATGGGGACCATCGCGTCGTTACTCTTGTCACTCTCATTCAGGGACATGCCGTAAATGATGCTGTCTCTGACTACCACCAGAAAAGGGTCTGTAACTACAGAAATACAAAACACAGCAATATTTAGAACACAACACAGTAACTGGGTGACAAAAAGTTAGTCATATGTTGAATACTAAATTCTTACATAATTTTATAGTTTATTTATTGTATGGTATTTATTTTCTGCAGTAACACCTGCAGTTTTCTTTGTCTGTCTGCTTGTTGTTATATTTCAATAAAATTTTTTAATAACCCTAATCTCCCTAAAACGTGTGCGTTAAAATGATTACGATTTTTAATAGAAACCAATAGTATTCCCTCCCGGATGTAATCAACACAAGAGCTTCAGTCTTGATGTTGCACAGAACTCCAGAATCCACCGCTAAAATAAAACCAGTTCAGTTAGCGTCTCACGGGGAAACTGATGGAGGCGAAAGGCAAAGAATCATTATTACTTAGTTCAGTTCATTTTAAAACACTGGGAAACGCTCACAGGTTAAAAAAAAAATGCAATTTGCAATATTGCAGTAATGTAAAATGTCTATACTGAATAGTTATAGTTGTATATTTCAGAACAAGGGCGAAAACCCTAAATTTGCATTTTGTTTGAACACACTGTTGAAAATTAGCCCACTTCATAAAAAAAATACATACATACATACATACATACATATACATATATATATATACATAATTATACATACATATATTATATATATAATTAGTCTGCCTAAAAATATCAAGATATGGTTTATCATCTCCCCACTATGCCACCTCATGAAAATTTTGGTTTCGTCTGTCAGATCTGTTCTGGCTCCAGCAATGACTGTCTGTCTGTCTGTCTGTCATAAAAATATTTTACACTGATGCAGATAATTGCATTATTACCATTCCATCAATTCACCCACATCTCTGAATGCATTAAGCTGCAATGCAGCTTTAAAAGATGCGACCCAGTCACGCTCGATCTGCCGCAGGTGCATTTCACGTTTCCAGTGGAATCTCATGTCTGATCTGCTTTGTCATCAAAGATTAAAATCGTTTCTGTGCCTCCAGGCATGAGGAGAGCTTCCATTCCTGGTAATCATTCATCTTTCAGTGGAAAATACGTTTCTGCGTCGTTCCCAAAAGCTGCAACGTGAGATGCGTTGAGCTTTTGACCTAAAGAGGACCCTCTGGACTGTGGATTAATGCTCCTTTTGTCTATTCTTAATGAAACAGCAGACTGGGCGAGTGGAGGGAGTGGCTGTGTTTTATTATTCTCAATATATACCTTCCAAAAAGGAAGTTAAAACAAAATTCTAAATGGAATCCTGTTGACATGTTCCGTCTGCCCCTGCCATGAATTTCCAAGAATTTTCTCTCTTTTGCGCACTAATTGTCTAGAGAATATCTAATGCAGTACCTCAAAGTTTTTTTTTTCCCCCTCAACATTATCATGCATGTGGTACATCTGAACCATGACAATTTGGACCAGAAAGGTGACAACTATCCGTGGACCGGCCTGGCACTCGGCCTACCTCTCACACAGGAGATCTGATCCGTGGCCAGGTTCCAGCCAGAGGGGCAGGCGCAGGAGTAAAACCGGGGGCCGATGGCTGACAGCAAGCAGATGTGGGTACAGGGGTTAAAGGAACAGCGGTTGACACCTGCAAAGCCATAAGAGACGATTAGTGTTACCAGACGCGGTCCAGGACGTTCCAGAGCTGACATACAAATAAATTCAACCTAATTATACCCAGAGCTACTGCATCAATTACACACAAAGCATGAATGCTTGCAAAAACCTTTTTAAAAATCGAGCACTATGAGCATTCAGGTGTAAAAGAAATCTGAAGATAAAAGAATTTTGCACAATGTACTATTGTATAGAAGTATAGAAAAGTATAGGAAAAACGTGCTTCACCCCTAAGGATATGACGGCTTATCAGAGTGCGAGGCCACAAAAAAGAATACATTGAAATAACAGAAGGAGAGGTCACACTTTGCTTAATATGATTTTATTGCTCATCGTCTCTGCACAATGAACATGTAAATAATAATGAGCAGTATACGCATGGTGCTCGGGGCAGCAGTACCTGGGGGCTGCCGAGCCGGGTGCACAGCCACCAGCCCCATGGGCTGCGGCAGGTTGTACATCAGAACCGTCTGGTTCTCGCCGTGCCACTTGTTGGCCCGGATCACACGGTTGATGTAGCGGTCAGTCCAGTACACAAAATCCTCAAAAATGGTTATTGCATGTGGATGCTGCAGCACCTTCACATTGAGAGACAAAGAAGTTCATACATTTAAAGCACTTAACTCACAAGTAACATCATTTATACCAAGTAAGTATATATAAGAGTTAAGAAGTACATATATACGGAATTCTTACCAGGTCACTGGCTAAGACCTGCTTCCTGTTGCTCCCGTCATAATCGCAGTAATCGATGAAGTCCAAGTACGCATCAGCGAAGTAGAGCAGCTTGGTAGGATAGTCTATTGTCAAGCCATTGGGCCAGTAGAGTTTGTCGCTGATGATGACAATCCTGTTTTTGCCGTCCATGCTGGCTCGTTCGATCCGCGGATTCCTCCCCCAGTCAGTCCAGAACATGAGGTGTGCACTGATTAAGAGAAAACAATCAAAGACCAAACAATGCAACCTTTGGCAGGTGCCAAACATAGACCTGTAGCCTGAAGCATAAAAGTTCTTGCTGTTGTATCCTTAAGAAAGTTACTGACTTTTGTGTTTATGAATAAAGAGGTCAGTACAAGGGTCAATTTTAGGCAGCAATAATTAACTAATTATTAGTTAACTTATTGCCATAACATTTCCCTACTTCTTCACTAAGGTGCCAGTGAATCTACAGATGGTTAAAGAGAGCTTCAATAAACAGGGCTCACTCATCCCGCGGATCCAACACTAGGCCTCTGGGGTTGGTAACGTTGTCACTGATTAGGACGGTTCTGTGGCTGCCATCTAGTTTGGACACCTCGATCGTCTCCAGGACATAGTCGGTCCAGTAGAGGTTCCGTCCGACCCAGTCCACAGCGAGGCTCTCAGTCACCGTCACGCCACTGTCAAATATCTGCAAATCACATCACATCTCCAAAGTAAACATCCATACTGTTGCTATGGAGACGTGAGAAAGGATTTCACGCTCAAGCAAATACCCTCCTCCAACTTACAACGGTCCTGTCTGAGCCATTTTTATGCATGCTCCAGATGCGGTCCTGTGTGGTGTCGGACCAGTACACGCGGTCCGTGGCCGAGTCGAAGTCCAAGGCCACAATGTTGCGTCCGTCGCGCACTAGCGATCGCACCACGTTGGGTTGTGCCGTGATGTCGTCTGACACGATCTGATTGCGGCTAGCCACCAGCAGCAGCGCCTCCCTCGGACCTACGGGAGCATCCGGTCCATTAGCATCCACCCCATCAACACCTTCTACCATCGCCTTGCCATCTGCTCCGTCCCCTCCGAGAGAAATGAAAAAGCTGCACACAATTAATAACAGAGCCCTCAGGGGTTTTGCTGCAGGGTACAAATGCAGCACTTGTTCGATATCACGCCATCTTAAAGTAAGATTTTCGGCGATCTGTCTGCCCAGTGGGCTCGCATCAGTCTCTTTGCTCATAAACAATCCATTGTTGGGCCTCATGTCCTAATTACCCCTGGTGAGAGTTTCTGAGTGACATATATGTTATTTGACTTATCTGCGGTAATCAGATGAGAGTGAAGAATGAATGGCGTACTCACAGACAGTCGGCCTACTCAGCCCAAACAGGGCTGCACTTGGACGGCATCCCTGCACAGCATAGCAATGTCATACTCTCTGACAAAATCAACCTCTAGGACTAACCATCAGGCCACGCAGGAATTACACGCTTCATTCAAAGAATAAAAGGCGATCAGCCGGTTGGAATTTAATACGCTTGAACAAAAAAAAAAAAAACGATGCTGCAGATACCCTTGAATGATGGGTAATGAGAAAAAATCTAATGGAATTTTTCCCCCTTACTGCATTGTACCAACTTTTCTTAAGAACCGATTTTGATCATTTGAATGGAACATGAATGAAGTGAAGTTCTCAGTCTGGGGGAATGAATTCTAACTCCGAAACTAACGTTTTAATATTGGACAACCACCACGTAAACACAATAAAAATAGCTGTAGCTAACTAACTGAGGCAGAACTTGGACAATAAGTTAGCTACACATAACAATAAGCTCAAAAGCACAGTTTCCCAATAGGTGATGGAATCTGGCTCTCAGGGAAAAAGTGCAATTTTTAGCTATTTTGCTTGGAGTCAGGTTTACAGTCTACAATCCATGTCAACAAGCCCGACGGTGCGTTGACGCACCTGAGACCTTGCATGTTCGCTGGTCCGCTTCCAGCGTATAGCCGTCTGTACAGTGGCAGCGGAAGGAGCCTCGCTCATTGTAGCAGTGCTGGCTGCAGAGTCCCGGGGGATTGCACTCGTCGACATCCTCGCAGGTCTTAGAATCGTTGGTCAATAGGTAGCCCAAGGGGCACGTGCACTGCGCCCCAAAAGGACCTTGGATGCAACCATGGGTGCAACCGGCATTGTTGTCCGAGCAGCTTTCTTGGTCTGGGGAAAGGTAGGGGTGGAGATCAACACTAAGCACCTGGATGTAATGGTGCATTTTCAATGCAAAGAAGCACGGATAGACACACTTGTTACAATCATGCACAAGACAGTCTACTAGTCTATATGGAAAATCCTCATGAAACAACAATAGATGTACAGTTGATATGGTATGCTACTTCTATTTCTATACAGCTACAACAATTTCCAGTTTTGATCATGCATCTCTAAGCATTCCTCCGGGGTTAGTGGACACGGTGGGTTAAGGACGATGGAGACAACACACACAGGGCGGAGCCATGATTACAGATGTTACCTACCTGGCAAAGGCTCATCTGAGAGCAGCGTGAAGGTCAAGGGGAGGAGAAATCACAGATCATTTTAACGGACCGGATCATCACATGCATGATTTGAACACAAGAATTTGCACACGACAAACGTTGAACGTGTTCTTCGAAATGGGCAAAAGACTGCTTTTACTGTCCGTGTCATTTAAGCATTTATACTGGCCTGTAGAAGTCAGAATGTANAACAAACGTTGAACGTGTTCTTCGAAATGGGCAAAAGACTGCTTTTACTGTCCGTGTCATTTAAGCATTTATACTGGCCTGTAGAAGTCAGAATGTAAGATATTAAAATAGTCAGGAGGCAAAGGAATAGCTATGACCGACCAATTGGTGTTGATTAGGGTACCGGAAGAAGAGGAACAAGGATGGGTGAAAAATGGCTGACTGTGAGTGGCTTAAAGTACAACAGGCAGATGATGTGAACATTACATAAAGTAGGTCAGAGGTGGACTTACTGCAGAGGGGCGATTCGTCAGCTCCATTGGGGCAGTCAGGGGTATTGTCACACACCTTGCTCAGGTCAACGCACACGCTGTGCCCAGGACACTGCCACTGCCAGCTGGGGCAACGGAAGGGAGGTGTGGGGCAGTCACGCTCGTCACTCAGGTCGCGGCAGTCGTTGTCTCCGTCACAGACCCAACGCAGTGGTACGCAATTGCCGTTGTCGCAGCGGAAGTTCGAGGAGGGGCAGGTGCGTGGCAGGCAAGCATGATGCTCATCCGAGCCATCCTCGCAATCTGGGTGCCCGTCGCATTCCCACGCTGCCGGGATGCAGCTACCATCCGACTGGCACTGGAACTCGCTGTCATGGTGACACATGCCGGGCATCCTGGTGGCTATAACATCAAAGTTCAACAGTTAACTATGGAAGTCACCAGGTAATCAATCACATTCAAACAATAAGAGATGCCCAGGACCAAATTAAGTATGTTCAACAGCCAATCACAGTGCTGATTTTCAGATAATTTATCCGGAATGACCATGTATACGCTACATAAATTTGAGCAGCCAATCAGCAATTAAATGCAATTTTTGTCTTCGTGCACATCAGAGGGGTAGCGGCACTCACGACAGCCAGCTTCATCTGACCGGTCGCTGCAGTCGAAAACCCCGTCACAGCGGTAGTAGGAGTTCACACACTGGTGTCCATTGGCGCACTTAAACTCATAGGAAGTGCAGTTGTAAACTGGAGTGAGAAGGAAGAGTCACATAGTCATTCATTGTGTTGCAGTATAGAGACCAATTGGTTCAAAGCATGTCAAAGTTTTAAGTATGGGGTGTACCCCTAATTCAGCCTGTACCACTGCAAACCAATGGGAAACACTGAATGCATTATGCAGCATAAATAACACAGCCAGTAAATGACACAGAGAAGTTTATTATTAGGCTGATAGTTAGAGATGGAGGGGATGGTTGACCATGCAGACAGACACTCACTACAGCCCTGTTCGTCGGCTCCATCCACGCAGTCCCTGTCTCCATCACACACATAGTATGGGTCAATGCAGCGGTGGTCTGGGCACTGGAACTGACCAGGCCGGCATGTTCCAGAGAAGTCTGCCAGGAGAAAGATCAGGCTTGAGAGGGATTCACTCTTCAGCGGTCCCCTCTGGCAAACCAAATGAGGCAGAAACAGAGGGTCGGGGGGGGGGGGGGGCTAAGCAGAGAGTTAACGCAAGCCCCAACGTTCAAGAGAAGACACAAGAACTTGATGAGAACAAAATGGAATGAGAAGCTTAATGGCAAAAGCTGACTTTGGGTAGTAACTCACGGCAGTCAATTTCATCAGAGCCGTCCCCACAGTCATTGTCTGTGTCACACAGCCAGGTGACAGGGATGCAACGCTGGTTGGCGCAAGTGTACTGATTGGCTTGGCAGGTAGAGGTACCCCGAGTGGGGCAGCTGTGCTCGTCACTGTTGTCGAAGCAGTCATTGTGCCCGTCGCAGCGCCAATTCATGGGCACGCAACGCCGGTTGGCACAGGTGAATGCAGTCGGAGAGCAGGTTGCATCTGGATGGTCAAACAAAGCAGGAATGTCAAGCACTTTAACTAAACATTGCCCACCCGAATAATATATTCTAACATAATCGAAATCTGCCGGCTACAAATATTTATGTACAGATGAATATGAATATGCACAATTAAGCTGTGTGTAGCTAATTACTTGATGAACCAGTCATGTTGCTAATTACAGGTATTGCCATTAAAATGGTATAGAAGGTAGTGATGTAAGCAGGAAACTTACTGTAGGCCCCGCAATTGACTTCATCGCTGTTGTCATGGCAATCGTCCATGCCATCACATTGGTAGTGCTGAGAAACACACTTTCCATTGGCGCAGGAGAAGGAGTTGGTTCCACACTGCAGGGTGGGGGGCTCGTTGGAGGGGTCCTCCACACAGGTCTGCTGGTTTGGAGCCAACTTCATGCCATACGGGCAGCCACACACCCGCTGGAAGTTGGGCACCGGGAAACAAAAGTGGCTGCAGTCTCCATTGGGATTAGCTGCTCTGTTACAATAGTTAGTACCTGGGGTGTGGAAAAAAGAAGCGAGTGATAGAAGAGGATGTCAGGTCACATGACAAGAACCGTGGAAACACAAGCAGAACTGTTCTCACCTGTCTGGGAGTTGGCGTTGAAAGACTTGACGTGCATGATGTGGCTGATCCCACGCCTGATGATGACCATCTCGCCACCATCGGTTTTCCGAACACGTACAATGGCACCCAGCCTCCAATCAGTGTAATACGCATAATCTGGACAGAGCGAACACATGCGTCAAGCAAAGGATGTCATTTTACCCAAAACAATCGAAGGACCACATATCAGCTTTCAGCATTTCTTGCCGTGGGTCACTTTTATGGATGTCACAGGTGATATCCCATATGTAATGTTCAAGATACATTAGTGAGAACAACTAACCTCCAAAGATGGTCAGGCCAAAAGGATGGGACATCTGCGTGATGCGGTCAAGGGTCAATCTGTTTGTCCCGTCGAAGGTGCTGTGCTCAATCTTATCAAAGTAGGCATCCACCCAGTAGAGGCGCAGGGAACTGGGAAGCACAAGTCCAGTTAGATGGTCTTGGCAGAGCGTCGCATAAACATTTGTTGGGGGAGGAGTTACAAGGGATTTCACACCATTATGCAACCATACATCAATGACCAAGATAATACTTCATCCCACAAGAGTCCCAAAGTGAGATCTAACGTGATGGTAATGGTGCTGGGCAGCTGAACTGCTCTCCATGACCCGGTTCCTCTAATGGCTACTGGCTCACCTCCAGTCAATGGCCAGGCCATTGGGCCAGCCCAGAGTGGTATTCACAATGGACTGCGCATGTGACCCGTCACACCAGGCCCTCATGATCTTGGCAGGACGATACCAGTCAGTCCAGAATATGTACCTGTCCAAGCGGAAACAAAACAAGCTATTGGCTAATTCTTTTTTTGCTTCCCTGATGTGTAACATGATGCCGCACGGGAGCATTCCTACTATAAGATGAAGCAATAAACTGTGAGATTCCCACAATGGATCAAAAAACCTGCGAGGCCCTTTCATTTAAGCCAGGTTCATGGTGTTCATCATAATACCAGCCTTCCTGTAGCACTAATCTAGACTCTCAGGCCCAGATGCCATGATTGTGAAGCTGTCCCACTACCTTCTCCTTTAATCAAGCCTGGGGTGTAGAGCAGGAGCAGTCTATGAATGGGGGGGGGCAGCTCTTGTATCATAGTAGGGGTGAGTGGATACCAGCACCCAGAGTGCTAATGCTTTTTCATGTTATTGAAGAGCAGCCTGTCATGGTCAGACGACTATGGTGCTGACTGTCAATGTATTTATGCAGAAGAAAAATCAATGTAGCACATTCTCTGACTGGGGCAGCACAGTGGTACAGCGGTAAGCGCTGTTGCCTCACACCTCTGGGACCATGATTCGAGTCTCCACCATAGCCCCATGTGTGTGGAGTTTGCATGTTCTCCCCATTGTCATGGGGGTTCCTTCAGAAACTCTGGTTTCCCGCCACAGTCCAAAAACATGCTGAGGTTAATTGGAGTTACCAAATTGCCCTTAGGTGTGCATGTGTGACTGAATGGTGGATGACTGTGCCCTGCGATAAGTCGACGCCCTATGTTGGGTTGTTCCCTGCCTTGCACCCATAGGCTTAGGATCCCCATCGATGGATGGATGGACATTCTGTGATTATTAAGATAAGAACCCATTCAAATTATCCCGAAGAAAAGATGGGAATTATTTTCAGGTTTTATGTAAGAATTTGGCACTATTCAGACCTAATATTAACATGCATCCTGGGTGATCCGATCACAAGTGAACAGCATTAAATACATCTGTTCACACCCATAATTAACATGCGTCTCCGCACGCGTCTCGACCGACTGATTGTAATCGGATCTCACTTTCCCACAACTTATTTAAATAAGCATGGAAATGTTTTATTTCTTATGTCTTATGTCTGCCAAACAATAAAAGCATGCGCATTAAATATATGATCTGCGCAAATTTTAAAACATCTTTACTAAATCAGTTCTTGCACAATTAATTTTTCCCAAATTTGTATGGAACATTAATGATGTGCATTTCGGCAACGTTGCCATGCCAATGGATCGCGACAGTCCGATTCCAGTAGATTCAAACTTATTTTTTGTTGTTGTATAAAAAAGATGTGTTGTTATTTACAAAGCAGTTTACCACACAGTGGCACATTCTGCACTGCAGACGTTGTAACATAAATCATATGTTACAAATACCATTCGTGCGTTTAATGTGTACATACTTACGGCCACATGAGGACATCAGCTGAGTTTGCCGTCCTACAATGTGGTCCAGGACACATCCGCGTTCACACTGCTATTAGAATGCAAGCATATGTGTCCCAGACCACCTCCAAATGTGGTTTGAGCGAATGGATCATGTTTTCAATGCGTTTTGGGTACGTTCACACCCGTATTTAGTAATCGGATCACCCTGGATGCATGAACAGGACCTTAGTGCACACACGTTACAAAACTCTTCTGTCTTTGTTAATAGCAGAGGGTGGAGGTTACTGTAGGTTTAGACTACAGTTTGCTGTGTATCTGAACTCGGACACTCAATGGGACAGGTGTAATTACCCAATTCCAGGGTGCACCACAATGGACCTGGGGTTGTTCAAGTTTCTCACTATGGCGCGTCTGGACCTGTCAGCAACCTTCATCACCGAGATGCTCCTGTAGCGTGGGTCAGTCCAGTAGAGGTTCTTAGATATCCAGTCGTAGGCCAGGTCCTCCACGCCTTCCACTCGATTGGCAGCGAGCACCTCCCTGCCTATAGAGATGGAAGACCATGACAATATACAAAGAACGTGTAAGCCAACTAGCTGTCAGGTATTGCCCATAAAGAATGAACAGTCACATGACACCTCACCCCACATGACACTCGGGGATACCTAACACAAACCGATTAGGCTGATGCACATCAGAAGCTCCAGTTGATAGTAATAACACAAACCATGATAAATACTCAATTTAAAAAATATGAATAATGAGTGGCGTCAGAAGGAGTTTCACATCGGGGAAGACCAATGTGGCAGGGGGTTGCGAGATATATCTCAACATCACAATGGCCACACGTGTAATAGTCACATCGTGAAAGGATGCAATGTAAGAAAGATTTTTTATTTTATTTTAGAATAATAAAGATTTCATCATGTTAAGACGAACAGTTTCACAGTTTAGGATACAGTTTCACAAATTAACATAAGCAAAAAATATGATAAAATGTTTGAAAATTAGTTTGTCTGATACAGGACTACAATCTTTGTTAGGTATATGTTTTGTCTTCACACTCTGCATGTGTGAAGGAATACACAATTATTTGTTTGTTTGTTTGTTTGTTTGTTTGGGGGGGTCCTGCTGATATTGGGAGGGACAAGTCCTGCCCCCCCCCCATTCCCAACACCCGTGAATAATAAATAGCTTCCAATGACAGAAGCCTGGAAACAGCCTTTTAAAACCATGTCCTCACCACTTCCATCCACTTTCTGCTTATAGATGATGTCTTTGGCTGTGTCAGAGAAGAAGATGGTGTCTTCTTCTGCGCTGAAATCGACGCCAACAAAATAGGAGGGTGTGCCTGTGATGGGCAGGATGATGTCCTCCTGGGACGAGAGGTTGAAGGGGATGCCCCTGACGGCCAACTGGCAGGAGAACAGCAGGAACTGTCTCACGGCTGTGAGGGACAAAGCGGTTAGCTCAGGATGAGGTCACGGCACATTTGCAAACTTTGGCGTAGGAACACGAGCAAAATGTAGTCTAACACTAATCCCTTTCTAGATACATTCAGAACATTGAAATTGTTCCAGTTATACTGATTTCAAAAGCTGTTCACGGGGTTAATTTCTTCCCTGAACCTATTTGCCCTTAGAAAGTTCTATAGTCATAGTCGCAATAGTACAGAAATTAGCTGATGTAAGAATACATGCTTAGCAAAAGCATGGTTTGGCTATACAACATGCAGCCCCAGGTTTACAGGGGTGCCTATGGGTGCACGGCATCCTCAAATGAATAATGCGTCCCCTTGGGTGGGAGTCAATCAGTTCATTACTGTGACACTAATTTCAGATCCACCCATAGTGATTTTATTCTGGAGCCGGCACTGGTCCCATGTTCTTACCCACGCAGCGCTTGCCATCTGCATGTAGGTCATATCCCAAGCGGCATTTGCAGCGGTAGCCCAGGCCACCGTTGTCTGTCCTGTGGCTCAGGACGCAGATGTGCTCACAGCCACCCATGTTCGCACTGCATGGGTTCCGTACTGGAAACCAGAGCAGAACTATTTTCCACAAAGGCTCAAACGTTTCATCTTGCGAGGCCCAAAACTTGTCGCATCATTCCATTAGCTTACCGTATGGCTGTCTGAGAGAGTGGACCACAGCCACCCCGTATGGATTCATCGCTGTGTGGTAGATCACCTGTGGGTTGCTATCGCTGAACTTGTTAGCTTTCATGACGGCCATCTTGGTCCAGTCGGTAAAATACACATTGTGCTCAAACAAGCTGATTCCAAATGGGTGTGGGATCACTGACCCTCCATGTACCACTGTTTTCCTTGAAAGAACAAGTTTACAGACCCACCTTATGTTGGTTGTGAACATAATAATGTCTTGCATCATTAAGCAGATACTACCTGTACCTAAGATGTCACCCTTTCCAGAAAATACATAACTACATGTTAGATAAAATATCTCTGACATGCTGGAGAGAGTCCAGCAACCATCCAGCAACGCTTTTTGTTAATCTACTGGGATATATGGAATGTCCAGCACCATGTGACAGATGAGCGTCACATCAATATTAAACTGGGTCAGCCGAGGTTCTTTGGTGGTTTGTCGTACTTGCGCTTCTTGTTAAGCAAAATAGGTAAAAGCTGTTTAGTTACTGTTCCTAACAAAGGCTCCCCTTCATGCTTGGTAAGTTCAGCCTTAACTCAACTATGATTCAGCTCAGGTTAGAATAAATAATAGTATACAGATGCTCCTCTACTTACGAACTTACAAACTTTCAGACATATGAATGAAGAGGGCTGTAAGTCTAAATCGTGTTCATTGGGCTCCCATTTCCTGTCTGCAACATCATTTTTTTTTCTGCACACCAATTCCACCTAGTATGACTTCTGGCCACTACTCCCGACGTGCGGCAGCGTAGCGTGTGTACTCCCAGCATCCTAGTTCTTTGTACTTTTGTGTACCCTTAAAATGATGTTAAATAACGACTTACGAACATTTCAAGGTACGAACAGCCATTCGGGACGTAACGTTTGTAAGTACAGGAGCGTCTGTATATTCGTATGGGTATATATCATACCTGTGCAGTCCATCGTAGGTTGTGGTTTCTATGTAGTCATAGCGACTGTCAACCCAGTAAAGCCTTTTTGCTTCGATATCCAGCGTGATGCCGGCTGGCCACCCTAGTTTGGTCTTGATGATCCCATAGCGGTTGGTCCCATCCATGTAGGCTCTCTCCAGTCCAGGTTCCCCATTTACCGCATCCCAGTCAGAGAAGAACAAAAATCTGAAGGAAGACATAAATGTTTTTTAATGCCCTGGCATCCTGAAAGACATGCCTCCGCAAAGCAGCTCTAATACCGAGGACCAATGCAGGTTGACATGCAAGCATCAACACGGTGAGGAGTCCCAGGGTTATCTGAATGGTCAGAGGCTCCCCAGCTGTGCCCTTCGATGGTGTAAGTTGTCCACCTTTAGGGGTGAAGGGGTTGTGGCAATGGTAGAAGTTGTTAATTGGGGGGGTGGAGCCTCTATGAGCCCCCTTTTTAGCAGAGGTCCCTAAGCTTCAGCTCGGGTGAGCCTGTGCATTAAAGTGTCCCTGGAGATGCATGTTTCTTAGTTTGTACATCACTAACCATGCTTTCCTATATACAGCATTTGAAGTGTTCTCCAATGATCTGTATACGGAAGTAAGTCTGACCATAATGTGTGATTGTTTGTGTGATTGTGTAATTTGTGTCCTCTCCAAGGTGTCCTCTACCTTTTGTCCTGTGTTTCCTTGAATGAATGGTATCAATGTTATCACATTGTTGTACTGAAAAATTGTTCCTCGTCTTAAATAAATCTCAAATATCTTCGCAGAGGTATGTTTTACCCACACAGCCCTTCATAGTAGTTTTCAGATAGTCAGAGAAACTCTTAACCTCTTAGAACCAGTACACAATATATATTATTATTGCTTTCCAATTTACGTTTAACCTACTGGAGAGCTTTCTTCTCTTGAATTTCACTATTGAGTTACATCTGAGTTCATCGTTTTTATTTCTTCCCCGGTAATCCATTAGGAAAGTCTCCTAATCTCACAGCATTATTACTAGCTCCCAGCCAAGTGAAACAGGGACAAACAGGATCGGGGAGTTCCCAAGCGCTTACCCCACCGTCGGGTCCACCGCTAGGCCTCTTGGATTCCCCAGGTTCTCTGCGATCAGCGTCACGCGGTTGTTCCCGTCCAAGTCCACCATGTCGATTCTATTGACGCTGCCCTCTACCACATACAGTTTGTTGTTGACCCAGTCCACCGCCAAGTTTTCAGGGTAGTCAACGGATACGTTCAAAACCACTTGCATGTTGGAACCATCCATATCCACCGAAAACACCTGTCCATAAAGATAAGGTAGACTTGTTCAAAGAGTATCCTATCTGGTCCTATGTATTGTGATATGAATGAGGACTAAGCAGCGGATAAAGAGTTATTTATAATTTGTTGTAATTAAACTTTCTAAAATTCTAAGAAATTACATTCCGATGCCCATCACTGAATTTCTATGTGCATTTCTAAATGACCACCATACTGATTTAAAGATGGCACCAGTCATCTTGAAGGTTTCATTGGGCAACACTGGCACAGTGATTAGATAACTGTGTTTGTGCATTTCGAAACTAGATCTGGAAGCCATGAAAGTTGGAAGAGGGACTGCTTGGCCAGCAAATTTAGTTATGGGGGTGTACTGATAGTTCAACCTCAACAGCAAATTTACAAGCCGTTGTTTGTGGTCCCCTAGATAGAAAGGGATTGACCTGAGAGTCGATGGTGACCGATAAACAGGAAAATTCGCCTCCTGGGACGTCCCAGCCTTTCTGTCTTATGGCCAGGGTTCAAACCAGAGACCAGCCAAAATCTCTAACAAAAGCCTTTGAGTTGCTGAAAGAATGCATATAGCCAGGCAGACATGGTGAAAACAAATACCGTGGGGCTACTTCCTACACGATTGGGTTACATAAAATTGAACGAAAATATGTGAACATTTTCGACAAGCATATCAGACTGTTTTTCTTGATTAGACTTTTGGATCTTGCTCCAGATCGGCTTCTCCGCCATTACGGAACGGCTGTCTGGGAGCCAAGAAGCTTTCTTATTATTACATGGAGACTCGTATCTAGAGGCATCGGTTAAAGAATTCCCCCCCCCTTGTAGTAAGCCAGGTTCCTACAAAGTTTTGCCCCACTGGCCAATAGAAGGATGTCTGCGGGACTGTAGCTAGGAGATTTCCTTCATAAAGCATTGCTGTAATGCTTTCAAAGGCGAGAAAACGGCACAAACAGAAATGACATGCAGACTTGGGACTCTTCAAACAGAGCCACTAAGCTTGGGAGATGCCAGAATTTGCACAGGCACAAGGTGGTGTCAGAACGGAGAGAAAAGCAGCATTCTGTGGACGAGAGGAACATTAAGACCCATCCCAGGCGGGATCCACACAATGCGGCGCATTGTTGTCGAGCTGAAAATGTAACATTGCCAAAGCAGAGTATCACCAGATTAGCACCTCAAATATCAGTGAAGTAATAATCGTAAGACCAGAAAAACAGACATATGTTGCAGACCCAAGTACACAGAGAACTAGTGAGTTATAGTGAAATAAACAAAGCAAGATTATGGGTAAATAAATAATACTTTTTAATAAATACTTGAATAAATACAATAAATACTTTTTAATTGATATTCTTTACCTGTTTTTATCATTCATGCACACACTGGAGTTCCTGTTCATCAGTTATATTCATATACAAATGTGAAGAGCAAGTGAGAACTGACATTCCTAATTTTAATTCTTAATAATCGTAGTCGATTGTTTTCCTCTCTGTATTGATATATATGTCCAGGGTGGTTTTAACCATAACCTTGACTAATTTCATCATTTACCTTGTTCTGAATGGTATCAGTCCAGAAGATCCGGTTCAGATGGTAATGGAAGTCCACCCCGACAGCTATGCCTCGGTCCTGGGACTGCACCAGTCTGCGGAAACCATGTCCGTGGATGTCGCCGATTAGCAGATCCCGTCCATTGGAGAAGACGAGCCAAGGCTGACCCGCTGTAACAGAAAATATGCACATTTACTTTACTTGGCCTATGCTTTTATCCAAAGCCACGTGCAAGTGAGGAATATAGCACATTACAGACATAACAAGGAGTCAAGGAGCTGAGCAGGCATAAGAAAAGCTAGGCTGAGCCTCCAATGAATGCCCAGTACAAGTGTAAGTGTCATAACAAGAACTTAATAAGACAACTATTCAGATCAGCAGTTGGTGCAACACTAAGAGCATCCAGGAAGCAGAGAATGGAGCAGGCTAGTACAGATTATCTTGGAACAGATGGGTCTTGATATGCTTCTTGAAGGTGAAAAGGGAATCTGATGTTTGGATCTGGTTTCGTAGCTCATTCACTGTATCAACTGGGAAGAATAACAACTTTCTCTCTGAAGCTTCTCTAAACCTGGGTTTTAAATCACATGCTGTGAACAGGCCTGGCTGAGTAGCTTGGATCACCTAACTTCTACAAATTCTTCACACCTTAAAAATAAAGGTGGTGGGGAATATGAATCTAAAACTCACATTTTTTCTATAATATGTCAGCACAGTCAAAATAATAAGTCCCCAAACTGTGATGTTAGATTGTTACACAGATATGAGATCTGAGAGGCAACTTTATCCTGCACTTTATTACACTGTATATTAGACATGACTACAAACAGACTGCAGCCTGCAGCCAGGCAGGATGGAAGCTCACTAGCTACAAGATCTCAGACAATAAAGCATAATTTCTTTAAGCTTAAGGGTGAAGGCTCTGTGAGGAGGTTTCTTAAGTAGGACATTTCTGTCTAATCCCAAAGAAAACATCGGCCGGGAGTTTGCCATCGAGCAGGCGGGGCATGTCACTGTGACTTGCGTCAGCTTGCAAATGGCCGCCTCGCATGATGTGTTTTTGTAGCAGGTCCTCTCTCATGCTACGGGCCTTAGTCAGGACCGTCCTGAACGTGCTGAGCAGGTCAGGGGCCCGGAGAGGACTGTCGCCAGGCCAGGACTTTCTGGTCCATCCCTGCGCAGAGCGACTGAAACAACATTCAGTCCAGGCACAATACCCATGGAGGCTGTGGATGGGGTGAGAGGCTGGGCAGATGCGTGGTGGAGGCCAAGAGGATGGGGCTTAATCTTCTGTATAAGTATAGCTAGGGAAGGGTTAGGGCAGACTCACATGAAGTGTTAGCCCTGCAGTGCCGGTGCTGTTCCAGCACGTAGCCATCGAGGCAGCTGCAGCGGTGGGTGCCGACACGATCCTCGCAGAGCTGGTCACAGACACCCCACATCTGACAGTCGTCGAAATCTTCACCGAGCATCGAAAGATTGGAGATGTAAAAATATTGAGTGAAAAATCCAGTAAAAATGAAACAAGCCCTGTCCACAACACCACGCAAATTTTTTCTACACAAAAATATTAAGTGTAAAGAGTACGTAGTTCATGTATCTTACATCAGAGACTTTGCATTGTCAAAAAAAAAAAACGGTTTCCTAACACAGTAAGAGAGAGAAACACAAAGATCAATTACAGCACATTTCCCTCATAATTCAAGAAATCTGCCAATCTGGCAGCTTTACAAGTTGGATCTGCATTTACCGATGCAGGAGCGGCTGTTGTTGTTGTTGATCACGTAGCCCGGTGGACAGTAACACGTTCCTCCATCAGGGGAGGCATGGCAGTGATGCTCACAGCTAAGGGAGGTACACTTCCAGATACCTGGCAACCCCGAGGTGCGGACAAAACGTCAATTAGGGAGGAAAACTCACATAACATTCTTAGAGACAAAACTTATTGACAAGGGAAGAGATTTAAAAAGCAAAGGAGCATAATAAAAGGGGATTTAATTCTGGCACTGACTGCAGTTGCGTCCAGCGGTAACGTTGGTCTCGTCCTCTCCTCCGGGGCACTGGGGGTTCCCGTCGCAGAGACGCTCCAGGGGGATACACACCCCCGAGTTTGGACAGGGCCACTCTCCCGGGTAACACTCCCGCTGGACCGCATCTGTGGAGGAGTGGGAGCCTGAACTGAAAGTCTTTAAGAAACTTTTTATTTTATTTTTTTTCTTCTTTTTTTTTTCCCCTCCCCCGTCCCCCCCCCCCCTCTCTGCAGAGGACTGCTTTATTATAATTTTTTATTTCCTTTGCAAAAAAAAAACACAAAAGACACAAAAGGAGAACACAAAAAAACACAAAAAAAGAGAAACAAAACGAAAATAATAATAATAATAAAATAACAATAATAGTCAAAGGGATATTGAAGTAGGACAGCGAGTGGCAATAACAACAGCAGTAACAGCAATAACAATATTAATTCAACTGCAACCGCATCTGTGATAACATTGCGTGTATGCCTTGTTTTGTGTATACCATTGGTTATGTGTGTGTGTGTGTGTGTGTGTGTGTGGCATAGAGGTAGGTGTGGTTATGTACCTATATGTATGTATGTATTTATGCGTATCTGAGAAACTTAAAGTGTAAACAGGAAGTCTTTGAGAACCTTAAGCATAAAAAGCTTACCGTCGTTCTAACAAACAGGCCATGGGTGGTTTTTTGTCGTCGTTTTTGTAGTGTCTGCTGCTTACGACTTACTCTTGGCTCACCTCTCGTGAACTCGACCCTACCGAACCCAGCGTGACGCTGAACGTCCTGCTGGAAACCGTGTCACCGCGAGCGTCAAACAAGGGTCAGAAACGACAGCGGCCCGCAAAGCCGAGAGCGACGGCGGAGCGCCAGCGTGGGAGGGGGTGGGGGGCACATTTTAGCTAACGAATGGACTTTCCATTTCAGCCGACACGTTTTCGCCGGCGGCGCATAATGCCGGACTGTGGCTCGGCTCGAAGCTGGCATCTCTGTCAGGACGTCGCTACTTTACATCACCGGGGCAACGGCTTGGAGAGCCTCACATGGCTCGTCTGAGGGCCTGACAGCCCTTCGCTTAAAAACACACTCTTCAGGCAGACTAATGGAATTCAATAGGTTTTCTTAAGAGCTGAATGATTCCGTGCCACAAAGAACAGCTTGAATAACAGCCTAAAAGGGACGTGGGCTTTACTTCCACACAGCACAGGGCGTGATGCAGTATATCCATAACCAGCAAGACCAGCAATGGCCGCTACTGCAGCCTAACTGCATGGCCATGGAACTGGCAGTGTTTTTTTTGAGCACCCAGCCTTCTCAGGCTCCCGGATCCTTACCACATCCCCTCTCGTCTGCATTGTCCTCGCAGTCATCCTCTCCGTCGCATAGCCAGATCTGATGAATACAGCGGCCGCTTGGACAGGTGAAGTAGTCTCCCCGGCAGGTAGGATAGGCTGTGACGGAAAGGAAGGCAGTTAATCGAAATACCACCACTGCTCAAAGCCTGCGGCGTAAGACTTACAATGAGATTTACGAGGAGTCAGGAGGTGAGCCTAACGGGAAGTTTCCGGAACACATACTGCAATTCTGCTCGTCGCTCCTGTCGCCGCAGTCATCGTCATGGTCACAGATGTACCCATGCGGGATGCACTCCCGATTGCCGCACTGGAACTGGCTGCTGCTGCAGCGCTGAGCTGGTTGAAACGGCAATTGGGAAAGAGCATAACCAGGCCGGCCCGACCCAAACCCGGGGGGCCGCCTGCCGTTGGGAAAGGGCCGACACTCACTGCAGTTGGCCTCGTCAGATCCGTCCCGGCAGTTGAGCACGTGGTCACAGCGCTGCGTGCGGTTGTAGCACGCTCCGTTGTCGCAACTCATCTCCGCACATGCTGGGTATTCTGGGAGGCAGGGTTTGCAAAAAACTCTGATGTAAACAACTTACCGGAACCTTTAAACCTTCCAAATCAGACCATCTTAAATGACTTACAGATTCTGGAAATTAGTTACACAATTACATCTGTTACCGCAATATAAATGTAAAATATATAAAGAAATTAGTTGTGGAAGAAATATTAAAGTGCAAAGCATATTAAGAATTTCAAAGAAATTAATGATAAAATTCCACATTATTAAGAACTGATCAAAGATTAAAACTATTTCTTGGTCACTCAGCTGAGCAACACTGTGCTCGGTGTGTTTGATTGTGAAGTTTATTCATATATTTTACAAGCACAGGTACACACAAACATAGAGGTGAGAGAATGACACCTGGGACCAGAGCACAGGTTCAGCCATTTTTCCAGCATCCCATTAGCATTTGGGGTTAAGGGACTTGCTCAAGTTTGCACGACTGATGTGATTACTCTGCCAGCCATTGGATTTGAGCAAACAACCTTCCCAACACAGAATAATAACCTATAGGACCACACACACATAATATAATTCTCTGAGATTGTATCATAAAAAGATCTTATGATGCAAGCACCTTATAAAACATATACAATTAGTGCCTCCATGTTGAAATGACCACAAGGGGACCAAGTGGGGAAAATAATTCTCGTCTCTCAAAACTAGTGTGAAGTTTTTGTTTTGTTGTGTTTTTTTTTTTTTTTTTTTCTTTTTAGGACTGCACAGTCATGGCCAATAAAAATAAAGCAACCAACATATTATATTAGCGTTTTATTCAGACAGTGACAATTGTGATGTTTCATACAAACAACAAATCTATTAACTGCTCCAAACCAGGCACAGAATATATAAATAAAAGGAGGAATCGACACTCCTTACAAGTGAATGAAGAGCTTGGTATTTTTTGAAGCTGCAGTACCATAATGAAGTGCAGAGCACCGGGGAGCGGGACAATAACAGAGCCGTATCTGACCATCAGGCCGGCTTAATCCTCGGAGGAATCCGCAAACGGGTTGCCGGCAACAAGAAGCATATTGTGACCGCTGCTGTCAATCAGCAAGCCTCTTAATGTTACAAATTGATTAAAATGCCGGGGAAGCCCCGAGCTGGGAGGAAGCTCGGTGACTCGCGTGCAGGGGGGGGGGGGGCTACTTACGGCAGCCTGTCTCATCGGCTCCATCTGAGCAGTCGGGCAGCCGGTCGCACCTGTATTCCCGGGGGATGCAGCCTCCGCTGGGGCAGGTGTACTGCTCGCTGGAACAAGTCCGCCCGGCTGCGGACAGATTGAGCACAGACACTGAGCAGGAAGTGGGGAGACCCCGCCCCACACAGAATATCTACCCAGCTTTGACGCAAATTCCATAAAGCTAAATTAATTATGAAATTAGTGCCTTTACATTTACATTATTAATAAATACTTTTGTAGAAGCTTATCCAAAGTGAAATACATAGGTTTTTGAGAAAGCAGGTTAAGACAATCCCTGGAGGGTCAAAGGTCTTGCCCTGGGGCCCAATTGTGAAATCTCTCTGCCAACCATGAGACTTGAACCGACAACCTTCTGATCACAGACACAGTATCCTAACCTGCTGAGCCACATGTCGCCCCCATGTGGCAAAACATAGCACTGCTGTGAGGTCAGGGGACAGAGATTAACGCGGGGTGGGGGGGGGGCTTACGGCAATGCTGCCTTTCGTCGGAGCCATCATCGCAGTCCTCCTCGTCATCGCACACCCACGACTGTGGAATGCACTCACCATCGCTGACACACTGGAACTGCCCGTCGTCGCAGCTCAGCCGAGCTGTGGAGGCACGGACGCCTTACTTCAGAAAGAGCCGAACACACCTGAGGCTCAGAGCACATGACTCGAGAAATGGATACTAAACAGGCAAGTAGCCAGGTAGAAAATAAAGGATTTGAACCCCCCAGCCCCTGAAAATTTTTAATTACTGATAAGGCATGTAGCCAGGTAGTAAAATGACGAGTTTGAACCCCCAGGGCAACATCTACGGACCCCCCTACTAACTGGTAATGTTGTAGGGTGGACCCCAACCCCCCCCAAATTTATTTTTGCCTACAGGCCTGACATTAAAGTTAGGAGGATTAGAATCCAGGTGTCTCCGGATTTTAAAGAAATGAAGGTAATATTACAAGAAGTAATGAAAAAAATACATAAAAAGACGCAGAGGTTAAACCATTCTGACACTGACGAGAGCCCATTTGCACAATGCGACTCTCTAGTCTTAAAAAACGCAGCAGATTTCACTCACGACAGCTGGCTTCGTCTGAGTCGTCCGCGCAGTCCGCGATGCCGTCGCAGCGCCACCCCAGCGGGACGCACCTGCCGGTCCCGCAGCGGAACTGTCCCGACTCACATCCTCAAAGCGGGAGAGTGACATGCTTAGGGACTCAAAGTCAACACAGCACTCAATGATTCCTCACTCTGTCCGTGGGCAGGCTTCCGTTTACCACCCTATAATAATATATTATAACATACATAATTTATCTTATTCTCTAGTAGCTCAGCTGTAGTGACACAGTAAAAATGAATCAGCCCAGAGACCGTTTTCGATGTGATGAAAAGCATAAATATTGAATCTCAAAGCCTCAGATGAGCACAAATTTAATTTTGTGATCAGATCTACACAATAAATAAAGAGTAAAACCACATCTTCAATCCAAATGTGGTCAGTGAGATTTACTTGCATACGGTGCTTTTATTGATGCAGTAGGGAGGTGTGGAATTGACAGGTTTTGGAGAAAAGCATGCCAGCAATTCCCAAGGCACCTACACAGCCTCCACTGCTCTCTCCTACAAGCCCCCGTTTGATGTTCCTGCCGTGTGGTACCTCTGAGATAAGCTAGCCCCCACGGCACCTTCTCTGACGCTCTCCAGAAGATGTTGACTGGAACGGACCAGTTCAGTGACAGAGTGCTCAGTCAGTCTTAGTCCAGACAGGACACGCGATTCTGACTGTCTCATCTGACACCTTGATTAATGGCGCAAGCTGCTCCTTGTCAGAAATGTGACTGGGATAAATAGTGGTACCGGGTGGTACTGGGTGGTACCGGAGCCCTTACACCCAAATTCTTTGGTGAGGAGAATGCGAGGTGGTGGATGGTGGTGCAGGTCTGGGCTTGGTGGTCTAGGTCTTATCACCTACCTTTAAATACACTCCCTGCTTAAACAAATATGCACTGAAGAAACAAAAACGTCAGAGAAGGTAGTAAGCCTACAGATCTGAATGACAGCAGTATACAAAACTAACCCAATAATTCTGAACTAGTTGTTCAGCTAAAATGCAGAATAATGATAAAGAATTCTGAATATTTTTTACTATATGAGTTCGACTCCTAGCAGGTTGTCATAAAACTCACTAAACCAAAACAAAAATGTAGTTGAAAATTTATTTGACCGGCCGGCCATTTCAAAAGAACCATAACTGATTTTTATCATAATAGAAACATGATATTGGATTAGAGCCTTCTATCTTAGCTACTTTTCATAATAAGCCATCTGGGCTTTCATTTCCCTGGATGTCTACATCTCGCCCAATCAGCATGCGTACTGGGTTTCTTTAAACTGAGGCCGTAATCTCTTGACAAGTATCTGCCTAGGTTTCATGACCCTCGTTCCTTGTTTTAGATCCTGTCACTGGTGGGACATTTCAGATAATAAGAACATACACAAAGAGACATTTGAAGACTAAGCAAAACAATGAACTATACTGAAATGGGAAGAATTTTAAATATCCAGGTCATATTTCAACATTTTTGTTATCTTGCATTCCTTCTTCAGATGATCGCATTGTGTGCCCATGTTGTGTACACTTTTCTAATCATTTTTGCATGATTTGGTTATTTTGGGTAACTTTGTTTCAGTCAAACATATTCAGCTTTACAAGGATCCATCAGCTTACATGCCAATTGAAACAAAGTTTTAATTTCAACCATTCAAAACTGCACTGATACAACAGATTTCAGACAATGCTTGACAGCTGGAATTTTCATTAGAACGTTTTATTAAGTGAACTTATAGAGCCAGGAACTAAATAAAACTCTTAAAAGGCACCAGTGAAATTCCATTCGGATACTAGTGCGGAGAAATGAAAAACCACAGAAGGGTCATATGAATACCGCAAGGAGTTAAGAAGCTCCACAGAACATTTCTGTCATGTCATCCTTTGATCTTTATATGATTAATTTAAGTCGCAGGACAAGTGACTGTGAACAGTAACCCAAATCAGGGTTTGCTAATAAAAACATGGAACCACTTTACTTTAGTCTAATTGACGTATCTACATTTTTAACATGACGGGACATCGGAGCAAGAGAAATGCACTAGGGACGGAGAGGCCATATTGACAGCAAAATGTTAAACGTTTTCAACTCAGACACATTCTGTCAGGTAGCTGGCCTGATCAAATCCAGCACAACTGCCCCAGTGGAAATAACTAATCGCACAAGTAATGAATGAGCTTCAAAATCTTCTTTCACTCTATTTGATAAATGTTGTGCAGGTCAACTATTCAATCGTGTGGAAGTCAACAGTTTTATCACCTCTTTCACATGATATGTACCTTAAAAATGGAACAATCCCATAATACTTGTGGGGTCATTGACCATGCTGCTCAACTAAAATCCCAGAGAAGGACTCTCATATCAATAGGTCTGCCTCTGCTTAGCCGATGCCACCCTTTGCCTTTTGCAGTGTGCCAGCCAAATGGACTTCCTTTTTAACTCTTTCAGCAGCCAATCGGAGAGCAAACCCCTTTCCTGATCAGCTTACTAATGATAAAATTGTCCCAACATTAGCTCAAAGGCAGCCTTTGTTATGGGGGTACGATTCCGGAGGCTGTAGCCACGTCTGTAACACTCAGGTAAGACAAGCGGCTCACAGCATCCAAACGAAAAACCAACCAGCTCAAACATGCCATTGAGCCGCAATTACGTCCCATCTATCCTGTAAGCAAAAAAATAACCCTGTCAAATTATCTGGAAAGGCAGATAATAAGGGAAAAATACCCCAAATTTATGTCTCAACTTTCATGAGATTATGACTTTGCAGAAGATGCAAGGCAGTGACAATGTCCTCATCCCGGTCATACAAAAATTGCCCAGCTTTTACATTCTACCTATATTCTACATTTGGCGAAGTGAGCATGATTAGTGCCACCCATCAGGGAGCAAGTTCAAAAGAAGGACACTGCAAAAGCCTCCTAGCAACCTTAAAGATATTCATAAATCCTAGGCATTCGGTTAATAGCTCAAACCAACAAGGAAACCATGTTAATGCCTTCAGATCAAGCCAGTGTTTAGCCACAGCATCAAAGCTCTGGGAAAAGTGACAAAACTCTACCAAGGGCTGATGCAATATATTACTTATGTTTGAAAAGCTGAGGAGTAGCAAGGGAATATATTGATTGGATTAAGAAGTAAACACAATAGCAAGGCATAGCAGTGAATTATTTAATTTCTTTAATTTATAAAAGTAAAAAAAAGAAGTCGATCTACTTTTCAGAGACAGAGCTCCGTACTTTTCCATTGGTGTCTTCCTTGGTTGTTTTGTTGTGTTTTCCTTTCCCCCTTTTCCTCTCCCCAACCATGTCTTTTCTAATTAGCCAACTTAAACCCTCAGCAGGCGAGCACCCACAGCTATCCAGGGAGAATGATAAGGACACCCTACCCCTGGCAAACAAAGGGCGGCCGCGGAGGAATTTTCATTAGAAAGAAGCTTCCCGGAGGCTCAGGCCCCACTGTGAAATCACAATGACACAATGGAGCGGGCCAGCAGGGCCGAGCCCCCTCATAACTGGAGGTGTCACGCCAAAGGAACTGTGGAGATGGATGGCAGAATGCCGAATACAGTACAACTTCCTGCAAACAAAAAGGGAAAAATGAAAGTGGAACGGAGGGGGGCTCCATGCCACCTCTACAAAAAAAAAAATAACAGCACTTGTCACCTCCCAAGAAACAACTTTTTCCCCCCCAACTCGTGAGAGGCTGGCGGGAGAGCAGCTTCTGCTTAATTCAAAGCCGCCCTGTTTTGGTGTGTCCTAGCCAGCCCCCCCCCCCCTCGGGGAAACGGCTGGCAGCGTGGAGCCCCAGGCCCAGCCGTGCCGTCAAAGTGGGCCGCGGCTCGACCCGTTTCATATGGAAATCAATGCGACAGGACGCAGTTGATCGCCAAACAAGTGACTTTGGCTCTGAGAGCCGCATGCAAAACGTGCCCCGGCTGCATGTGGTAGGCAGCGCTGGAAAATGGCAAATCGAAGAATGCGCTAAAGGACTTAACCAACATGCTTACAGTGCGTTATTCAATCCCTCATTCACATGCTGCCACTAAAAGACAGTTCGAATTGAAGAAGCACTGCATCTATATTACGCTTCACTGTGATTTTTTATTTTTTTTTGGCACCAGTTAATCTTAATTTATTTTAAGTAATTTTACAAAATAGATTTTGCATCACGGCTTTTGACATATTTTTTTTTTATGATATAAAAACATTGCGCTCTTAATAGGTGATATTAATGCTGCAAAGTAACTCTTGCATTGAGGTTTAAATATCAGATGGAAGGGAGCAAGGAAAACTGAAGTCAGGTGTTTATATATATGTGGTTTGTTTTTTTTTTCACTAATTTTCTGTACCTGTAAACATTAACTAACTATGGGTATGGGGTAATTCATTAAACATGGCTATAAAAATTCTAGAACAACCAATGAAAAGTTTAATAGCCCTGACACTTGCTTGACTTTCCATACAAAGCACAATAGGCTTTATTTCTATTTTACTGCCATGTTTGCCAGCTCACAATGCTATCTATGTTGAAAATAGGATTAGAAGAAGATATATGTTAGTTGTATTCTGTCTGATATGGAAGATCTGAAGATAAAAGGAACCTTTAAGGAGTTTGAGCATTTCCATATACACACGCATTCCAGGAATGTCAGTGTGAATCCTGTTAAGTAATGCTCTCCATTTCCAGATAATATTGATCCTTGGCGGTCTAGATAAGGCCTTGCAATACAACCTCCAGGCTTCCCACTAAGACAAGGTTAACGCTTTCTGAGGGATCAATAGACAAGAACATCCTAATTGACAAATCCATTTCCAGAGTTGTAACAGCCATGCAGATTACATTGCACTGCGTTAGTCCGTAAATTGAAATATAGGAAAATAAAATACAAAGCTAATTAACTGCACAGCTAGTCAGTATACATTTGGTTCTATGATCTGAAACTGATTCAGTTTTGTGCTTTCACTCCACACTTAACACAGACTGGGATTTCAAATGTCAAAATAGCTTTTAGGACTTTGTTGAGTGTCGTATTTCCTTGTGTGCAGTTACATTTCCTAGTGCTTCTCTGGAAAAAACACTCAGGATATTGTTATCACTTGTCCCACCGAGCAACTTAGTTTCTACTGATGGCAAATGCCAGGTGTGAAACAAAAGAATAAAGGGCTTCATCTGTGTGCACAGTGCCAGGATGTATCAGCCCTGACCGTGAAAACAGCTGAAATGAGCAAGGAGATTATTAACACACTCTTGCAAAACCTACTCAAGTTAAAGAAGATAGGCTAGTAATTGTTTATAAAAATGAAAACACCAGTCTAAAGTTTTGACAGTTTAAGCTACAAAAACATGATCTGAGGAGCAATTACTTTCCAACTAACAAAAGAAAGTCAACTAGCCATAACTTTGGTTATTGATCAACATGAACAATTACAACTGCGGATTCCCAAGTAGTAAACCACATTATGTTTTAACAATACATGTCTGCATCTAGGTCATTGTTTTGTGCTAGCTCAGACCTTCTTTGAACTCTTTTTAACTAACCCTTTCAGGGATTGCTGACAGAGTGTCATGCACTGTAGTGGATCACCAATTATGACTAATCATCAAGCTGAAATCCTGGGGTTCGGGAGAACTTTGTCACCCTGGACCAAACAGAAGCGAGACTCAGCCGATTAGAGACAGTAACCTGTCCACCTGCTCCAAGGTCCCTTTTGCAGCTATTTCATCCTAAACACATGCAGAATAAATCTGGTGCTCCAAGGTCCCTTTTGCAGCTATTTCATCCCAAACACATGCAGAATAAATCTGGATTAAATTAGTGATTCCATGCTCACATTTCAGAGGTGGTCAGCACATGTAAGATAACCCTAACTCATCATTTAGAGGAGACATTCTCTAGAACATGCCATTTGATTTAATGCCTGGACTTTGCCTCCTCAACAATGAGAAGATTAACTTAATTAGGCCTTCAGTTTTTAGCAACTCGGGAATGCCTCATGACAGGTTATAGGATGTTTTCTCTCAGAGGAAGGTGATAATTAACGTTTTACCCTCCAGACACGGCTAAAGAATTGTTTTCCATTTACCAGAATTAGTGAATCAGTTACAAGAAAAATTCAAAAAGGACTGCAGAGATTCTGGTTAAAAAATTAACGTTAAACAAATTATTCTGTCCCATCTCAATGATTCCATTTTAAAAATGCACCCAAAACAATAAAAACATTCCTTCACATCTGCATGACTTCTGAAATTTGAAACAACGCCTTACCACCGTTTTCGATAATTACGTTTCACTGTATAACGGGGACAGTTACTAATAATATACGAAATTCTCATGTTCAAACATGCATGACTTCTCTTTATAATACGTGCTCTGATCGATGGTTGTTTCTCTGGCAGAAATGGTCTTTTAACTGCAGCTCCAGCGTAATTAGGCGCTCGATTCAGACTAAGGAGCTTACGTACTAAGCGTTGGGTAAAAAGAAAGCAGATTACAATTTGAGCGGATGGGTCTCCCTCGACTACCAGTAACAACCGTCACAATCAAGATCACTAAGAGATATTAATAAGCATGTTGTTCTACGGGCAGATGCTGAATAACATTGCGCATATTGCATTTTTGTTCATCGGGAGCTCAGTGCGGCTCCTACGTGTTAGATCTGTACCAGCGGCTCGCGGATTGTCCTCGAGTCACATGCTCTCCTCTGTTACCTAGCAACGGCAAAGCTCAGGCAAAAGTTCCCGAAGAGAACTTCAAATCTGTCTGAGGGAGGCTTTGTGTTCAAGATTAAAGTAACGTTTCTGAATTGTGCAGGCCTAGAAAAAGCCAAGTTACATCGGGCCACAAAATAAAAATATGCACCTGCATGTATTATTAGTAAGAAATTTGACTTACATTTTTTTTAACTTTCAGGTATCATATACTATAAATACAATTTAGTTTTGAAAACAGCAGGCAATAAGTTAGTAAACTATTCTAGCATATGGTACAATTTCCATTCAATAAAGTATTATAAACCATTCAGTAAATCATTAATTACGAATGACTTCTAACTATATAGCAAATAATGTTGCTTTCAATTGTGATCCATTTTAACCATTGATCCATTTTTTCATCGTTAATGCATCTTGGAACATACAGAAGCTATTATACAAGTTTTTCCGGTGTATAAATATTAAAAGGTGTACATATATTTGCTTAGTGTATTACACAATTTAAAAAAAATCAAAGCGGACAGAGAAGATGGTTTTGTGGTTGGTCAGAAAGGGTGAGAACCTATACATGAAAGACTAGTCCTGTGGAGTATGTCAATTTGTTTAACAAAAGACATTAACTTACCTTGAGAATGGCACCGAAGAGAACACGAAATTAATAGGAAAAGGAGGTTAAGTAGTGCTTGCCACATTGTGGTGCACTTTCCCGGCCGGCCTGTCCAGCTCCTAGCGAAGCCGGGTTGGATACTGGTGCTTACAGCACTGGGATGCTGCTGCTCTTCTCTCTCTCTTTCGGGCCGCTAGTTGATGAAAAAGGGCGTGTTTAAGCGCTGAGACACCGCGCTTTGAATACACTACCCCCCCCCCCAGCCCGCTGGATAAAACCCCCCCGCATTTCGGGCTACCCAGGAATCTGCATAATTCGATTACTCACACTAATGACCCGTCTTATCGCGCGCGGGCCGATGCGTCCCGTGCTAATGGACGCTTGTTTCACTGCGTATCAGGGCAAACAGGCCCCTGTGGACCTTTTATAAAGCTGTAGAAATTGCAAACTGAATGGCCATTCGGTACTTGCGTGCGTTTTCTAATAGGGCATAACTTCAGAATTGCATGTTGCTACAATGCTGTTTTAATATTAAGTTTTTATTTTTCTAGCTATTTATTTTTAAATAGTTCCTTATTTTTTGTTGCCTCTATACTGACAATTTAACCATTTAATGAGGAATGTTTTCATCCATTTTTAAAGTTATAGGCCTATGACATAAGCCTGCATGCATACTGTATGTTTGTGTTTCAGGCTGGTTTCACGTGGTTGTTTCCAAATGATAAGTGTGAAGTTTCATGAGACGGAGAGCACACCAACTAAAGCACAAATGAAAACACCACTACCTGGGAAAAAAATCCAGACTGCAAATGTCTTTTAAATATTAAAAGCTTTAATATTTAATGTTGATTGCGCGAAGTATTGAAGTATTGTCGGTGGAATTAATGCGTACTGCAAGTGAATCTAACTTACATACATATCCGTTTTCCAAACGCTTATACTGTCCAGTGAGGCGGGCTAACGTGCATGTAGGAGTGATCTAACTATTTTTAAAAAATAGATTTTAATTCCCCTTTAGCCTTATAAGGATTAATATAGAATTTAATGGTTACGGAATAGATTATTAAGGCAAATTTACTGGGAAAAAGTAACTAAATAACAATATTTGAGAACATACATGTGCTGGTATAAGGCTACCATATCTGACAATGCGAATGAATTAATTAAATACCATTTCTTAATCAATATTATCTAGAACAAAAACACACACTTCTTGTGCTTGGACCCCTGGGAGTGCCTGTCTCTGATTAATCATTCAGATTCAGGGCGTTTTGGTGTGTTGGTACGGGACTGCACCGGGGTCAAGCTTCATTTGAATGGGGGGCAATATTATCAGCAGGAGCCTTCGACACTTTCAGTGCAGCCGCTCTCAGAATTGATACGCACTTGACTGGCCGTTGACTTTATCACTACTAATGTTTTAAGGTTTAGTGCTGCTCTTCTGAGGCGCAGCCCTGCCATATTAACTCGTTTTGTTGAGCAGTTATATGGCACGTAAGTATAAAATTATAACATTCATTTTAGTTAACAGAGACATGTAACCTTTAAAACGACTAAGCATTTAAACGATTGTATTAGCTAAAGCCATACTGAAACCTATGTATGACTGAGACCACAAAATATATCCGACGCTTTTATTCAGCGATATTTCTTTTGGGCATTATGGAAAACAAAATAGCTGAAATCGAAAATCTTGGCACACATCGCATAAAAAATGTGCCATTTTAAAACCAGAATGATAATTGAGAATCTGGAAATGAAAAAATAATGGTAGACTGTTTTATAAAAAATTATGCTAAATAAAATTATATTAAACCCGTCAAAAATAAACCAAATATTTTTATTATATATGTAATATAGTATAAAATATTCAAATACAATTAGATAAAGTTTCAGGCAGCAATTTAAGATAATTGTCTAATATTCATTATCCAAGTCCGAAAAGCTCGTCACTGCATGATACAGTTTCCTATGTGGCTATTATTATTATTATTAGTAGTAGTAGTAGTATTACTTATCCATGATATTCCAGGGCACTTCAATAAAAAAAATAATTTAGCAAAAATTAAGTACTTTTCCGAGTTTTTAAAGTACAATTTATAGATTTAAGATTAGAGAGACGAAAAGGGTTAAAAAATAATCCTTATTAATATTGATAGGCCTATTTAAATCGACACGTATTCTTCACCGATTCGCCCTTGATTTACGAATGTATTTTAAATTCCAGCCTTCCAGGTAAAATCGAAAGACTTTCCGGAGACTTAAGAAACACCTGATAGCGCTCGAGTTCTCGCTGGAAGCGGTGCAGCGCCACGCTGCGGTCAGTGAAATTCATTGAAGAGAGTCCCGAAGTACACTTAAGTTTAATGAAAAGCACAAAAAAGTGGTAAACTCTCAAACGGGAGCAACTTTGCACATGATGGTTTGATGATAACTACGATTCGAAAATGCACATACAACGGACACATACTCAACACATTTGAGTTAATTAAGAGGGCAGAAATTACCTGGGTAGATAGATACTTTTCATTTTCATTGCATACTTGTTCATGTACCTAGTTAGCGAACTTCAACAAATTTTATGAAAGGTTCAACTTCTGTCGTTAATTGATGCCGGTGTTCTGTCCAGTTGAGCTACTTTGTCGATTAGGCTACCGTAGTGCTAATCGACAGCCCTAACCCTAACTCTTATCCTAACCGTAACCCCCCAAAAAACCCTAAAACCCTTACTCTAACCGTAACCGTAACCCCTAAAACCTAACCCTAATCCCAAAACGGTGGAAGTGCACATGCGCAGAAAGGTAGCTCAACTCGTCAGAACACCGGCATTTACCATGTGAATCACTGCTTAATTAGTTTGGGGAAATTCGTTACTTACGATGTTCGATATGAAACGTAAGCATAAAGATTATCTGTCATGACATGTATTTACGTTTATTTCGGTCTTAAACATATACCTATGATATGAAGGTACACTATAAGGACAAAAGTATTGGGACAAACCTCTTAATCATTGAATTCAGGTGTTTCATTCAGACCCATTGCCACAGGTTATAAAATCCGGCACCTAGCCATGCGCTCAGACTTTTGTGAAAGAAATGGGTCGTTCTAAAGAGCTCAGTAAATTCAAGCTTGGTATTGTCATATGATGCCATTTTTGCAGTAAGTCAATTTGTGAAATTTCTTTCCTGCCAACCGTAAGTGGAATTATTGCAGAAGTGATTGCTGAGGTGCATAGTGTATATAAATCGCCAACACTCTGTTGACTCAATATCTGCAGAGTCCCACTTCCTCTGGCATTAACCCCAGCAGAAGACTGTGCGGGGAGCTTCATGGAATGGGCTTCCATGGCCGAGCAGCTGCATGCAAGCCTCACATCATAAAGCGCAGTGCCAAGTGTCAAATGGAGTGGTGTAAAGCACGGTGCCACTGGACTCTGGAGCAGTGGAAATGTGTTTTGTGGAGTGATGAATCACACTTCTCTGTCTGACAGTCTGATGGAAGATTCTGGGTTTGGCGGATGACAGGAGAACTTTACCTGTCTGACTGCATTGTGCCAATTGTAAAGTCTGTTGGAGGAGGGATAATGGTATGGGGTAGTTTTTCAGAGGGTGGGCCAGGCCCCCTAGTTCCAATGAAGAGAACTCTTAATGCGTCAACATACCAAGACATTTTGGACAATTCTATGCTTCCAACTGGGGAAGGCCCTTTTCTGTTCCTGCATGACTGTGGCCCAGTGCACAAAGCAAGGTCCATAAAGACATGGTTGGGTGAGTTTCAAGTGGAAGAACGTGACTGGATCGCAGAGCCCTCACCTCAACCACTTCAAACACCTATGGGATGAATTAGAATAGAGATTGCAAACCAGGCCTTCACATTGAACATCAGTGCATGACCTCACAACTGCGCTTCTGGACGAATGGGCAAAAATTCAAACGGATACAAATCTTGTGTATAGCCTTTGCAGAAGAGTGGCAGCTGTTAGAGCTGCAAAGGGGGACCAATTCCATATTGATGTCTATAGATTTAGAACAGCATGTCACAAAAGTTCCTGTAGGTGTAATGGCTGGGTGTCCCGATACTGTTGTCCATGGGGGGGCATGGAGCTGATCCAATACTAATGGGCCCTCCCACTGGTTCTGCTAATGGATAGAAATGTACTCTGATGGATGCTTACAAAGGAGGGTGTTCTATTCAATGAATGAATTCCATTTAAATAATTATTCAAATTATACTTTAAATTGCCACTTAGAAGTTTGAATCGTTTTAAATGATTGTTTAAATTACAATTTAAATGATAATAGATTTTTAATTATATTTATATTTTAAATATTAAAATTGTCAGTCACCCATCGAACACAGAAGGCGGGCTCTAAACAAAACATCTAACCGGTTACATCGCAAAATGTCACACCAGATCGATCTCGCCAGACTTCTCATATATAACTGCATTTTATCTGTTCTGCACATTTTGCTAGACATCACATCACTATCTAGAAGTAATTACTGTCCAGTCATTGCAGATGAAAATATTGTACCATATCCAGTATATGAAGAAGTATGGATGGTCCATTAAAATTTTGAAATTCCTTAATACAGGGGTGGCCAATCTTATGCGCAAAGGGCCGGTGTGTATGCGGGTTTTTGCAGCAAATCCATAATTAGATTACTAATTAGAGGACTGATTGGCTGAAGAGTCCTCACACCTGCGTTTAAACAGCTGACCTACAGGTTATCCCAAAAACCTGCATACACACCGGCCCTTTGCGCATAAGATTGCCCACCCCTGCCTTAACAGTTTTGAGTTTGCCATTTCATACACCTTATGCCAGGGGTGTCAAACTTCAGTCCTGGGGGGCCGGAGCCCTGCACAGTTTTTGGTTTACCCTCGTTTAACATACTTGATTCAACTCCTTGTGCTAATTACAACACAGCTCTTGAGCTGAATCATTTGTGGTACAATGGGAAAGAACTAAACTACACAGGGCTCCAGCCCCCCAGGACTGGAGTTTGACACCCCTGCCTTATATCATACCATGGTAGGCCAAATGCATAGCAGAAATGGAAGTACTCAAACAGGCCTTGTCACAGTTATCAGTAATTGTTTTTCCCTTAAGAGGTAAACATTTACATTTCCGGATGACGATTCCCCACAGCTGGGGCTCAGAGATCAAGTTACATAAACCATTCATGCTACACTCACCCTGCCTTAGATGCAGAACAAATACAAGTGAAAATGACCAAACATAAGTATATAGGTGTGAATATTGTAGGCATAATTCGAGATTATTAACGAAACATATTAGACCCTATGGGAGTCTTCACTCATTATGAAGCTTTACCTTTAATTATGGCAAATACTTGAAGCTTGAACAGTTGCCTCATGAAGTCAACTTATAAGTTAAGGTGCAAGTTCAGTATCCTGAGTGAATGCTATGAAAGATCTTAAATCCATTTCACAGCTTCGACAACTGGATAATTTGCTCAACATGTAGTCAAAAAGGTGCCATTCGTGTGAACGCTTCTCCCCTGAGAGTCAAGACGACAAAATGAGCCATGTCACCAGATCTTTATTCCATCTCCATCTTCACAGAAAAACATTAAATAAAACGGGAAGATGACAAGACAGATACCATCTTTACGATTATAATCCAAGTGCTCTACCCCCCAAAGCCTTTCCAAGCTTCCAAGGTGATTTATGAATGTTCTTCTGCCAGCTTCTCTGCCTTCTGGACAACTTCTTCAATGGGGCCGACCATGTAGAAAGCCTGTTCAGGCAGGGGGTCATACTCACCTAGGTAAGGGACAGTCGGATTCAGAAACAGGAATGCAAACTCATTCTGAGCAGATGTAACCAATGGACTTGTAAAAAAAAAAAAAAAAAGACCCAAACCTGCTAGAATGCTCTTGAAGCCCTTAATGGTGTCTTTCAGGGGTACCAGTTTGCCCAAGTGACCAGTAAACACCTCCGCCACCTGGAACGGCTGGGAAAGGAACCGCTGGATTTTCCGGGCACGAGCCACAGTCAGTTTGTCTTCCTCAGACAACTCATCCATGCCCAGGATAGCAATGATATCCTGAAGGGATTTGTAGTCCTAAAGGGAGACATTTGAACTCCATCAGTAATGGCGGCATGTCAACAAAGTGTCGTCGCTTTAAGCCTAATTAATACTTCACTCGCCAGTGCACCGTTACATATCACGTAAGTGCGTGCAACTCAATTTGTCATCAGGAGGGTCTGCACAGACTGTGTGCATCCAGCCCAAGACCCAAAATTTTGGGTCTAGCAAACTTCGTGTGCGATTGCACATGTGCAAAGACTTAACAGTGCATTACTAGGATTCCCAGTAGGTGTAACCTTTTGGTCTAGTGAAAAATGACTAATTACTGAAAAACTAATGCAAAATGTACACAAAAATCTGTACGTGGACCATAGTGTCATGTAGACAAATGAAGTATGAGCCGGGTATAACATAGCCCAGGACAGAGGGTCTGAAGCTATTCAAAGTTTAAATAAAATAAAAAAAAACCACCTGTCTAGTCTGACCAAAACACCTTCTGGATCACTACAGCCTTTACAACAACCCCATAATGGTCAAAATATAAACTAGACTGCTATAGCCATTCAGCAGAATACCCAAATAAATAAATGATCGCATGCAAATTTCTACAGAACTTCACTGACAGCATCCCAGCTTACCTGGAGGATCTTCTGCACTCCACGGGCGACGTCATAGTGCTCAGCCCCAACAATGTTCGGGTCCATGATGCGGGAGGTGGAGTCCAGCGGGTCCACAGCAGGATAGATGCCCAGCTCAGCGATAGCGCGAGACAGCACAGTGGTGGCATCCAAGTGGGCGAAGGTAGTGGCCGGGGCAGGGTCAGTCAAGTCATCAGCTGGCACGTAGATGGCCTAGAGCATTTAAAGAGCGAGTCACCACACACACTTCAAAGATGGTGCATTTTCACTGATGCAAAGACGCAAATGAGCATACTTGCCTGCACAGAGGTGATGGAACCCTTCTTGGTGGTAGTGATTCGTTCCTGCATTGTACCCATGTCAGTAGCTAGTGTGGGCTGGTAACCCACAGCAGAGGGAATGCGACCCAATAGGGCAGATACCTAAAAAAAAATATATTTTTTTAATTAAGACAGTTGCATTTATAAAAAGATTTTACCTTATAGGCTGGAAAGAGACCTCACACTGATCACAAACCTCTCTTTCCAAAGTTTGCAATATGACAAACTCACCTCAGAACCAGCCTGGGTGAATCTGAAGATGTTGTCAATGAAAAGCAGGACGTCCTGCCCCTCTTGATCGCGGAAATACTCGGCAACGGTAAGACCAGTCAAAGCCACTCTCGCGCGGGCACCGGGGGGCTCGTTCATCTGACCGTACACCAGCGCTACCTGTGTGTGGAAGCATATTGCAAATACAATTTATCGCAACGTATAAATGCACGCGCACACACACACACTCCTCGGGTTACGATGGCCCCAGTTACGATATTTCAACTCTACGGTGGGTATTCCAATTCCAATCTGTTGTTCACTTTCAGTACATTATTCAATAAATTACATAAGATATTCGACTCTATAGTAAAATTGGCTTTGTGTTAATCATTTCTCCCAACCGTAGGCTAACGCAAGTGTTCCAAGCAGGTTTAAAGTAGGCTACAATGTTCCATTGGTTAGGTGTCTGTATTATAACACATTTTCGCTTCACGATATTTTCCAATTAACCTAATCCCATCTTAACACGGGGAGCGTCTCTAAAACCGAGTGGAGATCAAGCAGGGCAAAGGAAGTCTTCACCTTTGAAGTAGTATCCTTAAGGTTGATGACACCAGATTCAATCATTTCATGGTACAAGTCATTCCCTTCACGGGTGCGCTCTCCTACTCCAGCAAACACAGAGTATCCGCCATGGGCTTTGGCCACATTGTTGATCAGCTCCATGATAAGCACAGTCTTACCCACACCAGCACCACCAAACAAGCCTAATTATTAAAAAAAAATAAAATAAAAGAAGAAGTGGAGAACAGATTCAGTCACTATAGGCAACATAAAAGCTTTAGAGCAAAATCAAACTGGATGCTGATCCATTTGACATAACAGCAGTCCACTTTTCCACATACCGATTTTACCGCCCTTGGCGTAAGGAGCAAGCAAGTCAACCACCTTGATACCAGTCACCAAGATCTCTTGCTCCACACTCATGTCAGTAAACTCAGGGGCTTCAGCATGGATGGGAGCAGTTCTGGGGAGGGGGTAAACATCTTTTAAATATCAATCCAATAATACATCATCATAATCCAGTATTGTTAGAAACAGGACTGAATAAAATACCAGATGAAAAATACTCAGAGTGGATGCTAACACACATCCCACTTGACTACAATCAGTGCAATTACTCAGTTTCATTCTATTTGGCAAGTTCACATAACATTCACACTAAACTTACTGTTTGGTGGTAATTGGTCCCCTCTCATCAATTGGCTCCCCGATGACATTCATAATCCTACCCAGTGTCTCTGGGCCGACAGGAATTCTAATGGGGGCGCCAGTATCGATGACCTTCTGTCCACGCACCAGACCTTCAGTACCATCCATAGCTATGGTACGCACAGTGTTCTCACCTGAAGAGGCACATTTCATTAGATTCCAGCACCATTTTTCAAATAAATAGAAAAAAAACAAAAACAGAAAGTGTATGCTAGTATGCATTACGCTTACCAAGATGCTGTGCAACCTCCAGCACCAGCCTGGTCTCACGACCAGAAACTTCCAGCGCATTGAGGATAGGAGGCAGACCTTCATCGAACTGGACATCTACGACAGCACCAATAACTGCGACGATGCGGCCATTGGCAGTCGACGGCTTGGCAGAAGGAGCAGCGGCTGCAGCATAATCCCGGCCTGTAAAGTCGATCAAATCACAGTGAAACAGATTAACATCACACAAAAGGCTACTTTTTAAGTAAATCAGGAGATTAAACTGGAATTTCAATGCTGGGTTCAATGCTCAACTCAGTATCTTCAATCCCAATGAACGGCATTATGGTCATTCAAGTTTCCAAATACGAACAAACTAAACGGAGCGCAACACAAAAATGGATGAATGACAAACCACCTACTAGATCGATGGATAAACTACCTAGAAATCTCAATTTTCCATATTTGGAGTACATATAACACAGTCCCCATAGATCTAACATTTTATTTTTGAGCAGAAAAAACTCCACTGACAGCTCAACCAGACGCAAGGCGATAACAAAAAGACCACATGGAGAGCCCAAAAACCTCTGACAAACCGGGACACATTTTGTCGATTATTCTTCAAAGACATCAGAAGAGAACAAAACACCGTAATCCAAGATCAAGGCCTTAATTACTCCTGCGGTAATACAATACGAACGTTAACCGGTCCAGAATCAGATGACTCTGTAACATGACAAATAAAGGTCATTCCGACTTTTAGAATAAACCAAATCACCAAAACATCTGAGCAAACAACGTCCCAAAATCAACGAAGCCGTACAGTGCCGGGGAAGATCGGCTGAAACTTTAAATTTCATTCAGTCTTATGATTGTATGCGTTCGGCCTGTACTGATGACCTGCATGTAGAATGCAACTACTGTAATTTCAATGTCGCTGGTCATTACCTCCTAAACTATCCAACGGATATCAAAAGACTTTAAATGACTGGAAGCATGCAAGTTACTTACGTGAGCACAGAGCTGCAGGGGCTCCACTAAAGACTTTCAGCGGGTTAACCCCAGGCTTCAGCGCCTGAAGCGCACCGGTGCAGCACCGTCCCACGGAAGCCAGCATTTTGTAAAATGGCTGAAGGTGGAAAGGGACAGTCGCGCTCGTGTTTTTATACATAGAGCGTGGGGTCCGACTGAGCATGCGTATAACTGACAGACGCGCATGCGTCCGAAGCCGCAAAAGGTATATATGTACTTTTATGACCAGTCGCAATACTTCACTTCTGGATCCCAAATTACTAAAACATTATCTATTTTAGCAAACATTGTTTCACTAAGTAAACGTTTAGTTTTTTTTTCCTGTGGAATGCTTTTAGGTTTTATATCGCGTACCAATAAAACTTCAAATCCCATAGTGCTTTATGTCGGTCGTGTCACAAGACACATCGGACAGATTCAGATCAACACCCAAGCTGAATAGCAGCAAATTCTACCAGCAATATGCCAACATCTAATGGAAAGCCTTCCCAGAAGAGTGCAGACTATCACAGCAACTAAGGGTTAGCCAATTTCATATTAATACCTTTCAGAGTGAAATGTTGGATAAGCTGGTATCCACATTCCTTTGGCCAAATAGTGTATGTGCCACCCCCCATGGCTCAAATCAACGCTGCCACCCCCCTCAACTCATTATCACATTGGCACACAGGTATGAGGTACTGGTTGAACCAAAAACTACATTGGCATATTGGTTGTTGTGTTGCACGAGCAGGTGAAGCAAGCCTAATTTTGCTTTTACTAGATCCCCCCCCCACTCATTTGATTTTTCTTATTGCATATAAAATATTTTTGACATGGGAGGCTGTGTCGGGGGTGTGTTGGAGCCAGGGGGTATGCATTTATTAAAACAAATGAACTAATTGATTGCACATGTACAGTTTTCTGTAATCGATCACGATTAATAGCACCCAATATTAAAACTTCTAATCATAAATATTTATTCATTTAAATATCCAAATTAAAGTAGAATTAACACAAAGTACAGTATATGGGTCATTCTCCTGAACTCATTACCATAACATATCAGTTTTCTCTAATTTAAAAAATCCCCCAACCCCGACACTGCCACTACGTTTTACTGAGCAACTCAGAAACAGATATATATGTAAATATTTCCACCCACTGTGCCTTTTAACGATTATATCTGAAGTGCAGAGTGTTCTTGCCAAGACTACTGCTTCTCCACATGGGAGTTGCCACAGAGAATTTACTTTTTGTGTTTACAATGTCAATGAAAATATTTTGCCTTAGCATTCTACGTTTTTCCAGTAGTTATCAACCATTAGGTGGCAGCAGAGACCATCAAAATAATAGCGTGACCAGTACCAAAAATCTTTCCAAGCAATGTCCGATTCTCAGCAAACCTAATACAGTCAACCTATGGCAAATTATGTATAATTCACATTCTGCCCCCTATAATTCACATTGATCAGTTTTTGTGGCTGATTACACTTTAGGGTCAAATGACCACCCTGCAAATTTCAAAGCTCAAGCATTTTACGAATGTAAAACACTGAAATGATGATAAAATTTAACAATCTCTCATTTTAAGATACATAACTTTATGTACTTTTTAAGTAATTTAACATGTCCTAACTTTCACTGGCCACCACATAGTGTTAGCTATAGCTAAACTTATTATGGCAAGTTCACATATTAAATTATTATGGCTGCTCTTTTATTGCATTTACACAACCAACAAAATGTACAGAACCTGCTCAATTTCAACTAACAGTGAAATCAGTCTGGCGACTATGCTATTTGATCCAGTGACATTCCAATCACAGGCACAGTGCTGTAACTCGCTGAGGCCCCACACCCACCCTACATTAATAATATTATTACTGTTATTACAGAGGAAGGTGCCCCAGATCCGTTCCTGGAGGCCCAGTCTCCCCAGTTTCTCTGCTCAAACACACCTACTGAACCTGACAATCAGCTTGTGTTTGAGTAGGGAAATTTTCAAATTGTGCTGTAGACCAGCCCTCCAGCACCGGAATTGAGGAATGTGGTCCATGTTCAGAAATGCTTAGTATTATAGCATAATGGGATGGAAATACTAAACAGGGATTGTAGAAAGGTCACCCTGTCCACAGTTGCTTATTTTCTTACAGCCCACACATTCTGGTTGCTCATATCCCCAAGGCCTTCTTCCGAATATTTCAGTGCCTTTTTCCTTTTGCTCACCTTTTGGTGCCCATTTCCATATTCCCATACCGCAGAAAACAACAATACCCCATACCCAATATCCCTCCATCTGTGGTTCTCCTCCCCATATCACGATAAAGGTGACAGATACCACCATATATGTTATTTGGAAAGACAGCCTGCTAACCTATAAAAAGATGCTTGCTCAGTTTAGGCTGATGTTGGTCTCCAGTCCAGCGGATGGTAGCACTTGCGATGCATCTTCTCCTAATGCTGCTTCTAGACGTATTCATCATTGTCAGTCATTTGCTCTTGTTACACTGAGCAGAGATGCCACAGAGATCTTACATCTTGCCTGTTTATGATACGGCTAACGAAGGAGACTCTGCATGTGACTGCAGACACCATGGTGAGTCTTTCAGTTTCAGAGACCAAATACAGCAAATACCGCAACATTTCAATCTGGATTTTTGACAGCAGTCAGAGTAATTAACAATTTACTTCTCGCTTCAGGTTTTGATAATGCGTATGGGGTTCCTCAGGACTCATTAAAGGGCCCAATGGTGTTCTCCTAGCATATACCGCCCCCTGGGGAAATTATTCACAGCAATGGTGTTAATTACCATTGTCATGATGATGACACCAAGCTTCATGCAACTGTGTGAAACCAATCAACTCTCCCAAGTGTCAGCAGCCATCCTGCCTGCAGTTCAGACTAGGCAATCCATCTGAAGCTAAGCAGGTTTGGGCCTGGCCAGTACTTGGATGGGAGACCAAATAGTAGAGCTGGGTTGTTGCTGGAAGAGGAGTTAGTGTGGCCTGGGTGGTGGTCTTGTGGTCTGGGTGAATCCCAGTGCAGTGATGGGAACAATGTGCTATAAAAATTGTGCCATCTCTCAAAAGAGATGTAAATCTTACAGGTCATGTAAGATCCCTTGGCATTTTCTGAAAGTGAAGGGGTGGTGCCCTGCTGTCCTGGCTAAAGTTGCTCACTGTGGTGATACTAAACCTGGCCTCCCAATCATCCCCTATATCTAATTGGGGAATTCTCTCCTGCTATGTAGTCAGTGTATTGAAGGCCAGAATGGCTACTGTCAGGTTGTCCAGGTGAGTGCTACATAGTGGTTAATGTCTCTCCCCATTGGTTCTGTAAAGTGCTATTTAAATGTAACCTTCATTCATTCAAACAACACTGAAGAATAGACAACACAACTTGCCAATAGAAGATGGAGAAAGTCAGGAATGTCTATTTCCCTGTTTGGCCAGCAGGTGTTGCTGGCCATCCCATTGTTTTCTGTGTTTTACAGCTTTCACGGTTCCTAGTGTGTTCCCCTGCTCCTTGGGGCACCATGCGGCTGAGCTGGTGGCTGCAAACTATGAACAGTGCTTTCATGCCATTGTGAGTTGTAGTTCAACTTTCTTGGACATTTTGAGTTTTGTTTTTCCCCCTGGTTATTATGTCCTTGTATTACAAGTATAGGGTCTTTATTTTTGTGTCTTTGTTTCTGCTAATCCCTGCCTTTGTCAGGTTTTGTATTAATGTCTTGTTTCACATGTATTCCTAGTGTTTCAGTCCTTAGTGTTTGTTAATTACCCTCAGCTGTTCCTGAAGCTCCAAGCCACTTGTGTGTATTTATTAATGGCCCACACCTGTTCCTCGTTATGCCCTTGTTATCAGTGCATTTAAGTGTATTTAAGTGCCATTCCTTGCTCTGTGTCTCAGTTGATAATTGTGTTTGTTTCCCAAATGTGTATGTGCTGCAATGTGTCTGTTACATCACTAAATCTATGTGGCACACCAAAAATTATAAAGGAAACAAAAATTTTGTAAGCCAGTGTAATTAAAGGCACTGTGTGGAAGGTGGCCCCTGAAGACAGGGCTGGTGTGTATGTGCTCTCCTGCATCTCTTTCATTCCCCTGTCATTGATTTATAGGTCCGTATAACCTATTTATCAACAGTCCACTCAGGTCCATCTGTATTGATCATTGCTCAGACCTCAGCAGCTGGCCTCTGTCAGTGTTTGGAGAATGAATACAAATGGTGACATATTTCCTGTTAGTCACACAGCCATTTTGCAATGGTCCCCTGCCTTCTACAGCTGGATCACATGACCAAGATTTTTCATGCACCATCAAGATTCAAGATTGGTTTATTGTCAATACAACAATATACAGTACACAGTATACAGTGTATTGAAATGTCATTCCACGAAAGGTCCCCCATGGTGTATTATAAAGATAAAAAGTTTGGCGCTGGTTTTTCTGGTCACATTTTAAAAAAAATAAACTCTACTCTCTGGTGCCTTCTCCAAATAACCTTGCTAAGCTAAGTGAAACTTTAACAAGTCAACTGAATTTGCACTGAAAAAGCACGTGGTCTGACCAAATTTTAGTGTGGGCTTTGTCTAGCCACTAGTATCCACCATTCACACCAGGATCCCTCGACCTCTTCTCTCTGTCCTCCTCTGCCTTTACTTGTCCTTTTCCTTATGCGTAGGTTAATTCTCTTGAAATAATGAGCAAGTAATTGGTGACAGTATATGCTAACGCTATTCTGCCTCTGATGTAATTGAATTACAGACAGGTGGGTGGTCTGTAATTGACTGGTCACTGCATCCCTCTATTAATATTGAATGGTGTTTATCCTGGGACAGAATGGTGAAGCAGGTAAGCAGCACATACCTATGGCTCCAGGCTCCTGGGTTTGAGGCTCCCCTGGTCTGCATGGGATTTCCTTGCCCAATATACAGACATGGGATCTGGGCTGTCTGGCCTCTCTGAGCTGCCTCTGAGAGTGTCCCCACAACGTGATAAAACCTGTTACTCTTTACCTTGTGGGGACATCTTTCCAGTTCCCACAAGGGTAACCTCAGTTCTACAAAATCTGTGAATGCAATCAAACAACTAAAATAGCCAAAAGTCTTGTATTTCTTTTGATTGCTTATGGTTAGGTTTAGGGCTGGGTA